CTCATTGGCTTCTACCTGTGTGTTCTCTGTCCATCATGTTGTTACAGTAGTATTCTTTTGTTGTCATTACTTTACCTGCACAATGTTAATCTCTCTCTTGTATGCATTCCGGGGTAAAATAGGTCTTCAGCAACCCATGCTTGCCGTAAAAGGTGACTATGCTTGTCGTAAAAGGCGACTAACGGGATCGGGTGGTCAGGCTCGCCGACTTGGTTAATGCATGTCATCGTATCCCAATTGCGGAGATCGATGCTCATGTTGTCAATCACTGGATTGTGTGGTCCAGACTCGATTAAATACAGACCGCCGTCATATAGCTGGAATATTGCTGAGTGCGGCGTTAAACAGCAAACCAACCAACCAACCAACCCTCTTGTAGGCAATTGTCGGTTCTGTTAAGCCTCCACTACTATATATATTCTGTACCATGTTTATTATTCAGCCTTGCTTGACAACGCTGTAAGGATCTAAACCGAACCGTCGCCTTTGCAGTCAATAAAGAAGTTGTTCTCCATAAATTGTGACTACTTGATCTTCAGATATCTTGTTTAAGCATAACATAATGTTTGTCCCTTGATACAACTGTTATGAAGATGTACAATATGATGTACTAAATAAGCTATATGACGGCGGTCTGTAAATAATCGAGTCTGGACCAGACAATCCAGTGATTAATATCATGATCATCGATCCACGCAGTTGGGATCGATGAGGTACTTGAGGGCACTGGTTCCAGGAGCAAGGTCCCTTGGCACAACACACTTTGGGTGGTTTGTTTGTTTGTTTGTTGTTAAACGCTGCACTCAACAATATCCCAGCTGTATGACGGCGGTCTGTAAATAATCGAGTCTGGACCAGTCAATCCAGTGACTGACATCATGAGGATCGATCCACGCAATTGGGACCGATGACATGCATCAACCAAATCAGCGAGCCTGACCACCCGATCCCGTTAGTCGCCTTTTACGACAATCATAGTCGCCTTTTAAGACCTATTAGGTTTTCAAGTACGCAAGACCCTGAACTCAATATGTGAATTTAAGTTTTGATTGTTTTGTTTGTTGTTTAACACCACACTCACAATATTCAAGCTATTCATTACGAAAATTGTACATTTAAAATAGGTACATGTAAATCATTTGGGCTTTTTTCCTCCAGCTACTTTCTGGAGGGATGGTTTCTAAATATGTCTGTAATTTCATTGTATGACATATACTGTCGGTAATATAATTAGTTGCTTTATGCAGATATTTCTAATGGATATGGAAGGGTGTTGTCGCTTTATTTAGTGGAAAGACAATTGTAGTCCTTTACATGTCAGAAAAAGGTTGGTTGGTCTGTTGGTTGGTTGTTTAACGCCGCACTCAGCAATATTCCAGCTATATGACGGCGGTCTGTAAATAATCGAGTCTGGACCAGACAATCCAGTGACTGACATCATGAGGATCGATCCACGCAATTAAGATACGATGATATGCGTCAACAAGGTCAGCGAGCCTGACCACCCGATCCCGTTAGTCGCCTCTTACGACAAGCATAGTCGCCTTTTACGGCAAGCATGGGTTGCTGAAGACTTCACGGGCCTGTCAGAAAAGGGTATACCTGAGTGTGTTATCACCACAACTGAATGTCGAGGTTGGAGTTAAACTTACATAAAGGATGGCAGTATGGGCATATCAGTGAAGATAAGATACGTAAATGATTGAACAAGCGACAATCACTCCTATATACCCCAGTGATGTCATTGAGAAGGTTATCAGCATTAACACAGAGACAGAAGTATATCAAGAGTAAGATCCAAACGCTGCTGATGTGATTGTATCACACATGGTTGAATAATGTATTTGCAAGACGCAAGTGATATTGATTAGAGTTTGAGTGGTTAAAGTAGTTTCTGGATGACTATACATTTCACCAAGCAAACTTCACCAAGCAACCACTACTGGCGTTCAAGAAGTCAGAGTGGTAGCAAATGGCTGACACGCCCTTAAAAACAGAAATAATGCTAAGAACTGTTAAACCAAACTGACACAAGGCATTAAGAATATCTGGACGATATTATACGTGTGTCCATGTCATTCTATGACTACGATTGACTAGTATTAGGGTAACGCTATTTTTCAGGGCATTATCATTTGCAGAAGCCCGAGGTCTTCCATTAACTGCCCGACGTAGGGCAAAATAGCGGTACCGTTATTTTAGCTAAAATGGATGGAATTTGTTATCAAATAAAAAGAAACAAAAATATCGGTAATGAAACATATACTGCAATCAACACTACTGGCCGTTCAAAAATATACAGGACATTAATCGACTGCGAGCTCTTGCATGAGAATGTAACCCAGGGCTTACATTCTAAGTTTAGACCAAGGAAGCGGTTTTAATCCAACTTATAAACCGTCTAAATGCAAGAAATACCAGAAAGAATGAGAAAACACCAGGATACCTTACAGTAAAACAATTTAGTGCGTCGTGATATAAAAGGAATACGATGAAAGCGTGCAGGAAAGACCACGTGCAGAATGGACACAACTGAAGTCATGACATGTAAGATTCAACACACTTCCCACACCTGATCCGGTGGTTCAATGGGAAAACACAGGGTTACAAAACGAAACCCACAATATGAGGTTGCAGGTTTGATTAACGTCATCGAATTTTCATGTGAAACATATTGCGACTTTTAACCAATAAAAATCAGCATTAGATTCATATAAAAAGGCCAGTTTATAATCTTCAACTGTAAAACCATGGTCTTCGAAGTCAATTGAAGCTGAGGCATTTCCGTCATTCGCAATTTATCAACATGACATGATATTTTGTTCAAAGAACCTACTCGCACAGCAATGTTACGTCACAAAAGGTTTATAAGCAAAGTGGTGTGAGAAATGACCCGAGAGTGAGTGAGTGAGTTGGGTTTAACGCCGCTTTTAACAGTATTCCAGTAATATCACGACATGTCAGCTTAATGTGGGAGGAAAGCCCGAAGTGATGCAGGTCTCAGACGTTTACCACTTCTGTGAAACCCACGAGCACGGGAATGGTGCTGACAAACCTAGAAACATAATTGGGGCGAATCGGGATTCGAACCCACTATCAAAGGTTTCTGTCGTGTCCAAGGGACGCACCTATGCACAGCGAATCGCTGCGCTCTAGACGGCTGGGCCACCCGTGCCTCCCTAATACAGTATGACGACCAGTTACCTATTCATTATGCTTACAACGTTGAGTGGCAAATTCTACAATTGTGTGAATTCACTATACATTCAATATTACCTTTAACCATTAGTAATTATGACAAAGTGAGGATGGCTGAGGATTGTGTCCAAGGCCATTTTTATACGCATACATTTTAGTATGACGGCGCAGATGTTAGGCAAGGTGAAATGGGGTTTAACGTCGACGATTGCACTAATACAGCAAAATGCATGCACTGTAAGTGTTTGGTTTCTTGTACTAGTCTGTACTGATGCTGGTTTACGAGTGCTAGCACACTGAGATAACATGCCTCAGTTTAACATCGATAACCAACCCAAACACAGTATACGGACTCCGAGCCGGCCAGTACTTGTTTTATCACCTTACTACCGAGCGCCACACATGGTAACGACAAGCACCATCTTTTAAACGTCTTTGGGTCTGACGTGGCCGAGGGATCGACCCACATCCTCCCCCTCAATGGGTAGACGAATATCCACTACCCCATCGAGGCATTTTTTCTGACGTGGAATTCCAGGTTATCCCAATCCTATGGGATCAAATAACAATAAAGTGACTATGTAGAGCACATTTTTTTCTATTTATTGAGATACACGTTACCAATGGTCTATATCTCAAGTTCAGCTATCAGTAGTGTTCGATATCTTTATTTCATATACAATCTTAAATACAAGTCAACAGCGGTAATATCTCCGCTTTAACAATGTTGGGGACGAGCTATAACACGTACCACATTGCTAAAAAGAACAACTGTCCTTTGTATAACTACTGATTAGTATTATCAATAACAGTAAACAATGATGATTCATGTACACAGAAAACATTAATTCAGAGTGAGTGAGTTAGGTTTAACGCCGCTTTTAACAGTATTCCAGTTATATCGCGGCGTGTCAGCTTAATGTGGGTGGAAAGCCCGAAGTGATGCAGGTCTCAGACGTTTACCACTTCGGCGGAACCCACGAGCACGGGTATGGTGCTGACAAACCTAGAAACATAATTCTGGCGAACCGGGATTCGAACCCACAATCATAGGTTTCTGGCGTGCACAAGGGACGCAACTCTGCACAGCGAATCGCGGCGCCTCAGACGACTTGGCCACCCGTGCCCCTACATCAATTCAGAAGTCAGGTGGCAAGATACTCCTGAAAAAAACGACCACTGCTTTCCACCCATTTCAATATAAAAAAGTCATTTGTTAAATCGATATGTAATTTTCTGACCGCAAACTTGTTTTTAATTGAAAGTGACAAGCGCATATTTAAACACAGAACCTGAAATCGATAATATAATCATGATGTTTTTAGTTTTCTATCTGGTCAATGGCACTGGTTGTTTGACAACCTTTTTCATTGATCCCTCCGCTTCTTTGCGCCATTTAACCCGTGAAGATCCGGGGTTGGTCTTCAGCAACCCATTCCTGCCGTAATGCTTGTCGTAAGAAGCGACTAACGGGATCGGGTGGTCAGGCTCGCTGACTTGGTTCATGCAGGTCATCGATCCCAGCTGCGTGGATCGATGCTCATGATATCAATCACTGGATCTTCTGGCCCAGACTCGATTATTTACAGACCGCCGTCATATAGCTGGAATATTGATGAGTGCGGCGTTAAACAACAAACCAACAAACCAACAACTCTCTTGTAGGCAATTGTCGGTTCTGTTAAGCCTCCACTACTATATATATTCTTTACAACGGGTATATCTGCAATCTTAGACAATAATGAAAACGAGATCAATGTCTTTAATGTGAAGTTCGTGCTATGTACAGAAAAGGGGTGGTGCTTAACTTTTTTCAAGGTGTATATATCCACAATAAACTGACAGCATCAGGTATCACAGCTACATGGTTATCAAACCATCCAACCATCCATCCATCCATCCATCCAACTAACCATCCATCAATCAATCCATCCATCCATCCATCCATCCAACCATCCATCCAACCATCCATCCATCCATGCATCCGTTCCTGAATCAGTGCAGTGTAATCAATACTGAGAAACTGATAGACACTTCCTCAAGTTCTTTCTTGGTCACGTGATCAATGTGGTCTTTTGCAGAGACTGTATAAGGCTCCGGCGAGTCATAAATGCAGATTCAATAGGTCATATTTGAACCGTGACCTTGACATGTGGTGTGAAAACTTGACCTTCGGTAGCATGTAGGTCAAGTTCATATCAGTCCGGCATTTTTGGCTAGACCGTAGAACAAACTGTCTGGGTTCTTGAGCAGAGATTCGGGAGAGTCGAATTCTTTAATTATTCCAGCGTCCATTACGATGATTCTGTGGTAAAAGAAGGAAATAGGTATATTAATTCAAAACGTCAACACCAGATAATAATTAATCTCGAATATCCACCTAACCACGTTCCTGTGTGGTTGTCGGTTGGTTGTTTAACGCCGCACTCAGCAATATTCCAGCTATATGATAGCGGTCTGTAAATAATCGAGCCTGGACCAAACAATCCAGTGATTGACATCATTAGCATCGATCCACGCAAAGGTGATACGATGACATGCATGAACCAAGTCAGCGAGTCTGACCACCCGATCCCGTTAGTCGCCTCTTACAACAAGCATGGTCGCCTTTTACGGCAAGCATGGGTTGCTGAACCGAAAACAAGGTGTCAAGCCTGCTAACAGCACCATAATGCCACTACGCTTCCACACTACAGTATAACAAGGACAGTCGAATCAGACTCCCAGCCGCCCGGTCCTTGGTTTATCCCCTTAATGCTAAGCTCCATGCAAGGTATCAAGTACCATCCTTTAACGGCTTTTGGTACGACGCGGCCGGGGATCTGACACCGACCTTCCGCTCCCCGCCAGACCAAGGATGCGGTGACAAACTTACGATAATAAGATAAGATAATACGTAATTATCGCAATGGAAATTCATATTGCACAGTTGATTAGCACTAAAATATATGATATTAAAATATTTATATATTCGAAAATAAGACATCTTATTATCACGGGTAAAAATATGTGTAAAATTGAACATTATCACAGTGACGACAAGGAATGTTTTTTAAAAGTATATGTAATAGTAAACTTTAACATAAGGGATAATTACCGGGCGATATTTGTATACAGCGAACTGTTGATAAAATATGAAATAGATAATCATTTAATTTCCTAATACCGGCTGGTGTGAATACCTGTTGTCAGCATCGGCATGCGCAGTCGGCGGCCAGAAGGAGTTAGTGAGGTGAGGTGAAATGGAGTTAAACGTCGCGTCAAAGATTATTGCACTTATATAGCGACGTGCATGCACGTGTATGTATGTGTGAGGCTGCTTGTACTAGTCCGGACTAATGCCGATTTATAGTGCTAGCTCACTGAGATACCATGCCGCAGTTTAACATGAATACCCCACTCAGACACAGTATACTGTCACCGAGCCGACCAGTCCTTGTTTTAGCCCCTTAATGCCGAGCGCCAAACAGGGTAACAATAAGTACCATCTTTTAACGTCTTTTGGTATGACGCGGCCGGGGATCGAACCCCGGACCTTCCGCTCTCCGGGCGGACGCTCTACCACTAGACCACCGATGCGGTCGAAGGAGTGAGTGAGTGAGTGAGTTTGGTTTAACGCCGCTTTTAACAGTATTCCAGTTATATCACAGCGTGTGGAGGGAAAGCCCCAAGTGATGCAGGTCTCAGACGTTTACCACTTCGGTGAAACCCACGAGCACGGGTATGGTGCTGAAAAACCTACAAACATAATCGGGGCGAACCGGGATTCGAACCCACAATCCGAGGTTTCTGGCGTGCCCAAGGGACGCAACTCTGCACAGCGAATCGCGGCGCCTTAGCCGACTTGGCCACCCGTGCCCCCCTCATCAATAATCGTGCCAAGGTGCTAACATCGTTCAACCAAGTCAATATTTTCGTCATCGGTAACAGGCAAAATTTCTGCTTCTTCAGTACCCACCTATCATAATCCATGACCGTGTTCAACCTGTGAGCAATTGTGATGATTGTACAGTCGGCGAAGGCTTCCCTGATTGTTTTCTGAATCAAGGAGTCTGTTTCCATGTCAACAGCTGCCGTAGCCTCATCAAGGACGAGGACCTTTGTGTGACGCAATAGTGCACGTGCAAGACACACCAACTGTCTTTGTCCAACGCTGCCAACACACCAAGACTTCATTAAATGTGAGGGTTGATTCAAGAACCAAATCCGCCAAATGTTCTAATGTCATCTTTTCAATTTTAATTTGTATATCAGCTCATGATCATAATCAGAAATACAATCACAATTAAACACATATTCTGTATATGAAGTTATCACTGATGTGAGTGAGTGAGTGTTGTTTAACGCCGCACTCACAAATATTCCGGCTAAATGACGGCAGTCTGTAAATAATCGAGTCTGGACCAGACAATCCAAGGATTGACTTCTTGAACATCGATCCACGCAATTGGGTACGATGACATGCATCAACCAAGTCAGCGGGCCTGACCACCCGATCCCGTTAGTCGCCTCTTACAAGCATACTCGCCTTTTTTCAAGCATGGGTTGCTGAAAACCTATTCTACACCGGATCTACACGGGTCAAACTGCATGTAATGTATACATTCTTTCATTGGCTGATAGTGTGCGTGTAAGGGCGTCACTGTCTTGACACTCGTACATCAGCTGATTGTGTGTACGTAAAATGAACACTATCTACACATTGGCACTTCACATCGTATGTTTTGTTAAAAAGACCTGTCTTACACACCTGAGATTCTCCCCTCTTTCTCCACACTCGTACATCATATAGTGTGTATATGAAATGGACACTGTCTACACAATGGACACTGCCTAAACATTCGTAAGTCACATCGTGTGTTTGTTAAAGGGAGGCTGTCTACACACTCCTTCGTCATATCGTGTGTTTTATTAAAGGGGACTTTCTACACATTCGTACATCACATCGTGTGTTCTATTAAAGGGAAACTGTCTACACACTCATACATCACATCGTGTGTTTGTTAAAGGGAGACTGTATTCTCACTCCTTCGTCACATCGTGTGTTTTATTAAAGGGGACTTTCTACACATTCGTACATCACATCGTGTGTTTTATTAAAGGGAAACTGTCTACACACTCATACATCACATCTTGTGTTTGTTAAAGGGAGACTGTATTCTCACTCCTTCGTCACATCGTGTGTTTTATTAAAGGGGACTTTCTACACATTCGTACATCACATCGTGTGTTTTATTAAAGGGACACTGTCTACACACTCATACATCACATCTTGTGTTTGTTAAAGGGAGACTGTATTCTCACTCCTTCGTCACATCGTGTGTTTTATTAAAGGGGACTTTCTACACATTCGTACATCACATCGTGTGTTCAATTAAAGGGACACTGTCTACACACTCATACATCACATCTTGTGTTTGTTAAAGGGAGACTGTATTCTCACTCCTTCGTCACATCGTGTTTTATTAAAGGGGACTTTCTACACATTCGTACATCACATCGTGTGTTCTATTAAAGGGAAACTGTCTACACACTCATACATCACATCTTGTGTTTGTTAAAGGGAGACTGTATTCTCACTCCTTCGTCACATCGTGTGTTTTATTAAAGGGGACTTTCTACACATTCGTACATCACATCGTGTGTTTTATTTAAGGGGACTGTCTACACACTCGTACATCACATCGTGTGTTAAATTAAAGGGACACTGTCTACACATTCGTACATCACATCGTGTGTATATTAAAGGGGAACTGTCTACACAATCATGCGTCACATCGTGTGTATTATTAAAGGGGACTGTCTACACTCTCATAAATCAGATCGTGTGTATTATTAAAGGGGAACTGTCTACAATTCGTACATCACATCGTGGGTATATTAAAGGGAAACTGTCTACACACTCATACATCACATCGTGTGTTTTATTAAAGGGGACTTTCTACACATTCGTACATCACATCGTGTGTTTTATTAAAGGGAAACTGTCTACACACTCATACATCACATCGTGTGTTTGTTAAAGGGAGACTGCCTTCTCACTCCTTCGTCACATCGTGTGTTTTATTAAAGGGGACTTTCTACACATTCGTACATCACATCGTGTGTTTTATTAAAGGGAGACTGTCTACACACTCATACATCACATCGTGTGTTTTATTAAAGGGGACTGTCTACACATTCGTACATCACATCGTGTGTTAAATTAAAGGGACACTGTCTACACATTCGTACATCACATCGTGTGTATATTAAAGGGGAACTGTCTACACAATCATGCGTCACATCGTGTGTATTATTAAAGGGGACTGTCTACACTCTCATAAATCAGATCGTGTGTATTATTAAAGGGGAAATGTCTATAATTCGTACATCACATCGTGTGTATATTAAAGGGACACTTTCTACACACTCGTACATCACATCGTGTGTATATTAAAGGGACACTGTCTACACACTCGTACATCACATCGTGTGTATTATTAAAGGGGACTGTCTACACATTCGTACATCACATCGTGTGTATATTAAAGGGACACTGTCTACACACCTGAGATTCTCCCCTCCTTCTCCACACTCGTACAGCAGCTGCCCGGGGACGTCAACCACGAACTTCTTGAGGTGAGCCCTGTCTAGAGCCCGCCATATGTCGTCGTCACTGAACTCGTTGAATGGGTCCAGATTCATCCTCATGGTGCCAGAAAACAGCACAGGATCCTGGGAAGGAGAAAAGGGAAAGGAAGTATGAATATTTACACATGGTCCTGCAAAGGAGGGACAGGATAAAGAGATATATGTCTGATTATATACTAGTAGATACCAGGACACAAATAAATATTATACTGCATTTACAGTCAAACCTCTCACTTTTTTTAGATGAAGTGAAATGGGGTTTATCGTCGCGTCCAAGATAATTGCACTTCTATTGCGACGTGCATGCACATGTGTGTGTGTGTGTGTGCGTGTGTGCGTGCGTGCGTGCGCGTGTAGCTGGTACTGGTCTGGACTGATGCCGATTTATACTGCTTGCCCACTGAGATACCATGCCGCAGTTTATCATGAATACCCCACTCAGACACAGTACACTGACTCCGAGCCGTCCAGTCCTTGTTTTAGCCCCTTAATGCCGTGCACAGGGCAGGGAAACAACAAGCACCATCTTTTAACATCTTTTGGTATGACGCGGCCTTGGATCGAACCCTGGACCTTCTGCTCTTCGGGGTGAGGCTCTTCCACAAAGCCACGGAGGCGGTCTACCTTTTTGAGAATTGCTGGTCTTCACCTGACGTCATTCAGAATAGCGTTATCCATCACAATCTATATCTACATGATGACAGTTATTGACAGTTCATGATAATATTATTACCTGGGGTAGAATCGTAAGTCGTGATCTGACGTCATGCAACCCGATATGAGCAATGTTGATCCCATCTATCACAATGGAGCCTCCGGCGGCCTCGAGGATCCTAAACAAGGCCAAGGTGAAGGACGACTTGCCGGCACCAGTTCTACCCACAATGCCCACCTGAAAAAATATATACGAACTTTAAATGCCATATACACTCATAATTCATCATTACTACTTCGAATAACGAGCGGAAGAGCCTGGAATTGCGGAATAGGGGAAACAGTTCGGCACAGTTCGGCACAGTTCGGAAGAGTTCGGAACAGCGCGGAACAGTTTGGAACAGTTTGGAACAGTTCGGAACAGTGCGAACAGCTCGGAACAGCTCGGAACTGCTCGGAACAGTTCGGAACAATGCGGAAAAGGCGGGAAACGTGGAATAGGCTTTCAGGCGGAATATGCGAATGTGAGTGAAAGAGCAGAAGAGCCTGGAATTGCGGAATAGGGCGGAATAGGGCGAAACAGTTCGGCACAGTGCGGAATAGTGCGGAATAGTGCGGAATAGTGCGGAATAACGCGGAATAGGCGGGAAAAGTAGAACAGGCTTTCAGGCGGAACATGCGGAATGGATGGATTGTGCCGAAGAGTGAGTGAGTGAGTTAATGCTTTACGTCACATCGGCAATATTTCAGCCATATCGTGACGATTGTGCCGAAGATGAGTGAAAGGGCGCAATAGGCTGGAAACGCGGAATAGTGCAGAAAAGGGCGGCATAGCTTGGAAAGGCGGAATATGTCCAAATAAGAAGATGAGGAATCTTTGGAATGTGCGAGACAAGGCGGATTAGGCGAGACAAGGCGGATTAGGCGAGACAAGGCGGATTAGGCGAGACAAGGCGGATTAGGCGGTACGAGCGGAATGGCCCGAATAGACCGAGTGGGTTCACACACATTTGCCAGATGTGAGCTTATCTGGAGTAACGAAACATCCAAAGATTGAACAATTTAGCATATTTCAGTCATGCGTCAATCATACATTGAAAGCAAGGTCAGACACATCTTTATTCACACACACACACACACAACAGACGTTGTACTTGGTTCTTACCTTTTGCCCTCCTTCAACAGTACACGTGACCCCTTTGAGGACGAGGTCAAGGCTATCTCTGTACCGCGTCATGTAGTTTTGCAACTGCACCGTTCCTCTCTGGGGCCAGTCCACAGGAGGTCGAGCGTGTGGAAGAACCCAGTCCGCCTGCCAGGATGCATCACCATACACACATGTAATACCAGACAACACGTAGAAACATAGAAACCTTGGAGCTACATAAATATTTTTTTGTTTAACCCCACACTCAGAAATATTCCAGCTATATGACGGCGGTCTGAAAATAATCGAGTCGGGACCAGACAATCCAGTGATCATGAGCGTCGAGCTACACAAATGGGATACGATGGCATCCGATACGACAAGCATAAACCAAAAGAAAACCATGTGAGAGAGACTATCTAGACTTGCTCCCCTTTAAGTGAGTGAGTGAGTTTGGTTTTACGCCGCTTTTAGAAATATTCCAGCAATATCACGGCGGGGGATACCAGAAATGGGCTTCACACATTGTACCCATGTCGGGATTCGAACCCGGGTCTTCGGCGTGACGAGCGAACGCTTTAACCACTAGGCTACCCGACCGCCAGCTCCCCTTTGAGGGCAACAGTTGGGCTGGGCGAAAGGGAAACAGATAGGTCCAAGGCTTACGTTTGTTTAACGCCGCACTCTGCAATATTCCAGCTATGTGATGGCGGTCTGTAAATAGGCGAGTTTGGATCAGATAATCCAGTGATTGACATCGTGAGCATCGACCTACGCAATTGGGTCGCAATGACATGCATCAACCAAGTCAGCGAGCCTGACCAACCTTTCATAGCATTGACTTATATTATGACGAATGATATACTTGGACACTAGGAACCGACCGTTTCATATTCTAGTGAGTGAGTGAGTGAGTGAGTGAGTGAGTGAGCGAGTTGGGTTTAACGCCGCTTCTAACAGTATTCCAGTTATATCACGGCGTGTCAGCTTAATGTGGGAGGAAAGCCCGAAGTGATGCAGGTCTCAGACGTTTACCACTTCTGTGAAACCCACGAGCACGGGTATGGTGCTGACAAACCTACAAACATAATCGGGGCGAACCGGGATTCAAACCCACAATCATAGGTTTCTGGCGTGCCCAAGGGACGAAACTCTGCACAGCGAATCGCGGCGCCTTAGACGACTGGGCCACCGATGCCCCCTCATATTCTAGAGAACGGGCCTAGGTTTTTGTTAGAGGCAGATAAATTCAGTCTTTGCTCCACGACATATATTTCTGTCTCCCTGAAGGTTGAGCCGAACATGGGGACCCAAAACAGTTTTTGTATTCAAGCATGTTCAAAGACCATTTACTCCTTGATCTATTCCGAATTGCTTTTTCAGCATTTCCGGGAACCGATTATGTTTTTCAGAAAAAAAGCTACACTGGCATGATATGAGTTGTTATATGCTAAACAAGACTGATCCACATACATGTGTTCATGTTTTGATATCGATCTTCCAATGATAACCATCAGAAAAAAATACATGTTTTCCTTTTTTTTTAAAATATGTCGGCCTACCTCTGTTTTCAGCTCAGAATACTCCTTAATCCTCTCCACGGAGACAATGTTGGTTTGAAGGTCACTGATCTGCTTGACCATCCATCCCATAGAGCCGGACACCTGCAGGAAGATGGTTAACAATATTGGATGGTTGGTTGGTTGGTTGGTTTGTTGTTTAACGCCGCACTCAGCAATATTCCAGCTATATGACGGCGGTCTGTAAGTAATCGAGTCTGGACAAGACAATCCAGTGATTGATATCATGAGCATCGATCCAGGCAATTGGGATCGATGACATGCATCAACCAAGTCAGCGAGCCTGACCACCCGATCCCGTTAGTCGCCTTTTACGACAAGCATAGTCGCCTTTTACGGTAAACATAGTCGCCTTAACAATATTGAGACTGTCATATGGACATTTCTTTCCTGTGTTAAATGTTTATCTCTGTCTATCATGCGGTCTAGATCATATATTCTACTATCACAAAGGCAAACACAAATTAAATCCTTATACCTATATTAACAACAATAGATAAATAATTACAAATACAGTGAGAGGGTAGATTTTCAAGTCGCTTATAAACTATTTCAGCCATATTACGGTAAGGGTGTAAGGAGGTGAGGTGGGGTTTAACGACGCGTCCATAATTATTGCACTCATATAGCGACGCCCATGCACGTGTGTGTGTGGCTGCTTGTACTAGTCCGGACTGATGCCGATTTATAGTGCTAGCCCACTGAGATACCATGCCGCAGTTTAACATGAATACCCCACTCAGACACAGTATACTGATTCCGAGCCGACCAGTCCTTGTTTTAGCTCCTTAATGCCGAGCGCCAGACATGGTTACAACAAGTACCATCTTTTAACGTCTTTTGGTATGACGCGGCCGGGGATCGAACCCCGGACCTTCCGCTCTCCGGGCGGACGCTCTACCACCAGACCACGGAGGCGGTCACCTTAAACACGACTATACCAACCTGTAGAGCGTATGACACCGACAGTCCCAGCTGGCCTCCACTGGAATCTGTAGAGACCACAGCAAACATGGCAGAAGCGAAGATGATGGTACTTCCAATCATGTCGAGGTAATAGGCGAGCCATCTGCATCATTAAAGTGAGTGAGTGAGTTAGGTTTAACGGTACTTTAAACAGCATTCCAGTTATATCACGGACTGTCAGCTTAATGTGGGAGCACAGCCCGAAGGTCTCAAACGTCTCAAACAGTTACCACTTTGGTGAAACCCACGAGCACAGGTATGGTGCTGACAAACCTAAAACATTATCGGGGCGAATAGGGGCGAACCGGGATTCGAACCCATGATCAAAGGTTTCGAGTTTTCCAAAGGGACTCAACTCTGCACAGTGACAAAGCCCGTGCCGCCTGCGTCTTTAAAATTTTGTTTGTTTGTTTGTTGTTTAACGCCGCACTCAGCAATATTCCAGCAATATGACGGCGGTCTGTAAATAATCGAGTCTGGACCAGAAAATCCAGTGATTGATATCATAAGCATCGATCCACGTAATTGGGATACGATGACATGCATCAACCAAAGAAGCGAGCCTGACCGTCCGATCCCGTTAGCCGTCTCTTACGACAAGCATCGTTGCCTGTTACGGCAAGCATGGGTTGCTGAAGACATATTCTACCCCGGATCTTCAGAGGTCGTCATTAAAATAATATATGGTTAATTATAGATGGAACGTAATACTACATCATTGCCCATTGATCTAAGGAGGTAACAGAAGTATATATTTATATTCGATCATGTTGGAATATTTTTTACGATGAGGCAAATATAACTATCAAGACAAATATTCTCATTCTTTGAACACAAACTGGACAAAAACGCTAGGCATCATGAATATTTTGGGATATTTTTGTAGTGAAAACTGATCACACAATTTCATGAAAAGTGTCCTAAATACTATTTATAATCTTTAACCTTTTGGTTTCAGTATATTATCCGTAAGATGGGTATAAAAAGTGAGAGTTAGTATGTTTTTTTTGTGCTGCGTTTAGCAATATTCCAGCAATATTCCAGCAATAATCCAGCAATATCACGGCGGGGGACACCAGGGAATACATGCACAAAGCAATCTTAGCGCTAAGATGATCGTAACACCCATACTTTAATACCATACTTTAACATAGGCTTACAATAGTCGTAGCGCTAAGATCGCTTTGTGCATGTGAGCCAAGAAATGGGCTTCACACATTGTACCCATGTGGGGAATCGAACCCGGGTCTTCGCCCCGGGGTATAAAAAGAAAATTAATACAAATGTTTTCCATTGAGCAGACATAATCATTCTTGTTTTTTTATCTGAAGAAAGTATCTCTCCTCCCACAATACAACATGGCAACTTATTCCTTCCCGCCATCGCCACGCTTCTTAAACATAATAGTAGAGCATGTTCAAGTGTTGCTATGGTATTTTGTCTTCATTGTATGACGACGCAGTGGGAAATATTCCAGCGATATCACAGCGGTATTTAAATCATTGAGTCTTGACCAGACAAACCATTGATTCATTTGAGCACCATAACACGCATTTAGCGTCGCCTTGACGAGACGCGACCTTCACCTGTTTGAGACGATGCCTCCAAAGTAGAAGACCTGATTCCTGTCCACCCTCTTCTTGGACTCGTCTATAAATCTGTCCACGGCTCCGTAGGCGCGGATGCTGGAGGCGCCGGTGATGGTCTCGCTGAAGTGGGTGTAGACGGGGGAGCGAGTCACGGACTCGATACGCTTCAGTTGGCAGGAGGTGGGGATGTAAAAATTCTGCAAAATTTGATGACGTAATCAAAGGACTGCTTGATACGCTTCCTTGAAGTTGGTTAATAATAAGAAAACATACTTTATGTATTGCAACTTCGAGTTTATTGCTGCAGTGATAACGAAGTAGTATTTTTACATCGAAACGTCTCTAAGTGCAATAAACGAGACGTTGCTATCCATAAAGTTATATGTGGACCTCCCACGTGGTCTAGTGGTAGAACGTTCGCCCGGAGGGCGGAAGGTCCGGGGTTGATCCCCAGCCGCGTCATACAATTAGACGCGCAGCATTGTATGGCTAAAACAAGGACTGGTCGGCTCGGAGTCAATGTACTATGTCTGAGTTGGGTATTCGTATTAAACTGCGACATGGTGTCTCAGTGAACTAGCAGCCACAAGCAGGACAAGCAGCCACACGCACTCACACGCACACGCACGCACACACACGCACGCACACGCACTCACACGCACACGCACACGCACACGCACACGCACACAGAGGTGCATGCATGTCGCTATATGACTGCATTAATCTTGGACGCGACGTTAAACCCCATTTCACCTCACCAAAGTTTGTATGTATTTTGAGTCATCCCATAGTATGTTATCATTTGCGATTGTAAACGACATCCGATTAAAGAATTCACCTGTTGCAATCATCACTTGCATGACTGCGGAATCACGTGTTATCACTGTACAGTGAACGGGTTTGGTTCTACGCCGCTTTGAGCAATATGTCAGTTTTGTCACGATCGTTATGGAGATACGGTGAAATAGGGTTTAACATCGCGTTCAAGATTATTGTACCAAAAAGGAGGACTATATGCGTGTGTGCGTTTGTGCGTGCGTGCATGCGTGCTTGTACTAGCCTGGAAATATGCGGGTTAATAGTGCAAGACCACTGAGATACCAAGCCGCAGTTTAACATGAATACCCCACACAGGCACATTATGCCAACTGCGAGCCGATCATTCTTTCTTTTATTCCTTTAATTGCAGGGAATAATCCTGTAACCTACGACGCAGCCGGGGTCGAACCACCGATCTTCCGCTATGTTGGCAGACGCTCCATCCACTAGACCATGGATGCGATCCCAATGGGGAAGAGAAGCCTGAGGAGTTACCTTATCACTTTGGGAGTGAGTGAGTATGGTTTTACGCCGCTTTTAGCAATATTCCAGCAATATCACGGCGGGGGACACCAGAAATGGGCTTCACGTATTGTACCCATGTCGGGAATCGAACCCGGGTCTTCCGTGTGTCGAGCAAACGCTTTAACCACTAGGCTACCCGACCGCCCCCTTATCACTTTGGTGAATCCTGAGTATCATAGGTTCGTGTGTACTTGAACATGATTTTTAGCGGCCCATACACGATTATTACGTTCAGTTATGTCCCTTAGATGAAGGTTGTATATATCAGATGTTGAGTCGTGAAAAACATTTTGACAGATAGAAAATCTTGGACATGCAAATTATTTCACCAAATTTTCGATCGACTAAAGTGCTGTTTTAACCATATTTTTTTCAAAATAACTGAAACTATAAATAAATATGAAATCTTCGCTGTCTCACCTGTATAAAGTAGTAGAAAATTAGAAGCGGAACGAACACCGCAATAATGATGGGGGTATTTATACTGATGATGACGACAGTACCCACGACGTTCGTCACCGTCGACATGAACATCCTAACGATGACAGGCAGGGTGTTGTCGACAGTTTCAACGTCACGTGACATCCGGTTGAGGATACGCCCGAGAGGCGTGGTGTCGAAGAACGACATGGGTGATCTGAAGACGCGGCTGAGGATGGCGTCGTGAAGACGCGCAGCAGCTCTTACGACTCTCGTCCAGAACAGATAGCCACAGACTGCCATTATAGCAACTGAAAAGTAGTAAGAGACATGAAATTAAGTGTAACGCCTCATTCAACAATATTACAATTATAGGTCAATAGTGAGTGACTGAGTTGGATTTAACGCCGCTTTTAACAGTATTCCAGTTATATCACGGCGTGTCAGCTTGATGTGGGAGGAAAGCCTGAAGTGATGCAGGTCTCAGACGTTTACCACTTCTGTGAAACCCACGAGCACGGGTATGGTGCTGACAAACCTAGAAACATAAGTTTCTAGGTTTCATAGGTTTCTGGCGTGCCCAAGGGACGCAACTCTGCACAGCGAATTGCGGCGCCTGTGACGTATGGGCCACCCGTGTCCCAATAAGACAACAGCCTTCCTGGCCAAGCTGTCATCTCTGGGGTGACGCCAAACCCTGAGCTACATACTTTCCCGTTAAGAGAAGGCACGTCCCGGTCCGCAGGTTAAGGTACGGAGATAGATTTTGTAAAAATGAATAGGATCGTGCTCGAGCCAAGTTGGGCGCCAATATGTCGACCACAAAATGTGCCAGCCCTTGACAGGATCTCGGCTCGGATGTCTTATCCATACGACCGAAGCGAGATTTCACGCCTTGCTGACAACACGCAATTTGCTAATATCACACAGATCTTGCTAGCGACACACACTGACACAGCCATTGCTGATATCACACACACCGTGCTTATAACACACTCCTTGCTGACACGCACTTCACTAACAACATACGCACACCTTCACAACGATATAAACACCTTGCTAACACGCACACCTTGCTAACAACACACACATTGCTAATATCACACACATCTTGCAAACACCACACACGCCTTGCTAACATACACCTTGCTGACATCAAACGTACCTTCCTGACAACACACAATTTGCAAATATCACATACACACCTTGCTAGCGACACACACACTGTGCTAACGACACACACACTGTGCTAACGACACACACACTGTGCTAACGACACACACACTGTGCTAACGACACACTCCTTGCTGACACACACTTCACTAACAGCATACGCACACCTTAACAACGATATAAACACCTTGCCAACACGCACACCTTGCTAACACGCACACCTTACTAACACGCACACCTTGCTAACACGCACACCTTGCTGATACTACACAATCAGTTCCAACAACAAACGCTCAGTTAACAAGACACATCTTTCCCCACATCACATCCATCTTGCTGACAACACACACATACTTTGCTAACACACATTGCTAACACCACACACACACTTAGCTAACAGTGAGTGAGTTGTGTTTAACGCCGCTTTTAACAGTATTCCAGTTATATCACGGCGTGCCAACTTAATGTGGGAGGAAAGCCCGAAGTCATGCAGGTCTCAGACGTTTACCACTTCGGTGAAACCCACAAGCACGGGTATGGTTCTGACAAACCTAGAAACATAATCGGGGCGAACCGGGATTCGAACCCACAAGGTTTCTGGCGTGCCCAAGTGACGCAACTCAGCACAGCGAATAGCGGCGCCAAAGACGACTGGGCCACCCGTGCCCCCACTTTGCTAACAGCACACACACCTTGCTAACAATATACACAGATAATAGTACACACTCATAGCTAAAGCAAAGGTCCAGTATGTCCCAAGGTACTTCTTATTCAGTGCCGCGTACTCGTCCGGGGGGAGGGAAGAGGAATTGCCAAGTTGTGGATCTTCCGTCCAGTTGGTGAGGTAGAACCCCGCCCCCGTGTTAACGGCTTGGAATGCACAGAAGAGGAAGAGTGACAGCGTGATGGTTGGTAGCCCCGCAGCTCTTCCGTACATCAAGAACACGTTCCATCCGACCTGAAGTGAGTGACTTGGATTTGAAGGTATACATTGAGCGCACATTATAAGTCCTGCTTAATGCCAAAACATTATTATGGTAGTTACAGCGTCATGTATTTCAACATTTCAAAGGGACCGACCATCTGATTATTCTGTGTTCGTGTGTGTGTTAAACTTCGCGAGAAGACCACTCCTGGTTTTATTCCCATAATGTCGAGCCGTTTGATAAAGTGAGTGAGTGAGTTGGGTTTAACGCGGCTTTTAACAGTATTACAGTTATATCACGGCGTGTCAGCTTAATGTGGGAGGAAAGCCCGAAGTGATGCAGGTCTCAGACGTTTACCACTTCTGTGAAACCCACGAGCACTAACATTTAACGTCTTTTGATATGACGAGGCCATGGGTTCGAACCATCCACCTTCCGCTCTCTTCGGAGACGCTCTATCCAAAAGACCACGGACCAGATCATTAAATGCTGGGCCCCAACGCCAGACAGGGTAACAATCAGAACCATCTTTTGTCGTCTTTTGGTTCCATTTTCAGCGTAACAATATGACGATTTAGAGCGCACACACATCCTCACACCTTCCCCACTCCTTACGTTGCTTCTGTTTGTTTCTTGTTTAACACCGCACTCAGCAATATTCCTGGTATTTGACGGCGGTCTGTAAATAATCGAGTCTGGACCAGACAATCCAGTGATTGACATCATACGCATCGATCAACGCAACTGAGATACGATGACATGCATCAACCAAGTCAGCGAGCCTTACCGCCCGATCCCTTTAGTCGCTTCTTACGACAAGCGGGCGGTCGGGTAGCCTAGTGGTTAAAGCGTTTGCTCGTCACGCCGAAGACCCGGGTTCGATTCCCGACATGGGTACAATGTGTGAAGCCCATTTCTGGTGTCCCCCGCCGTGATATTGCTGGAATATTGCTAAAAGCGGCGTAAAACCATACTCACTCACTCACTCACTCTTACGACAAGCATAGTCGCCTTTTACGACAAGCATGGGTTGCTGAAGACCTTTTCTACCCCGGATCTTCAAGGGTCTCTTACGTTGCTAACCTTACGGAATGACGATTTGTCGTCGGCCTGAAACGTTTGAGCGGTCTCCTTACCTGTCCTTTCTCCATCGTCTCGATCTGCGTCAGTCTCCCTTGTCGTTCCTTGACGGTGATGGACTTCGCTTTCTTTTCGGGGGTCGATGTGCTTTTCACCGACTCAGACAATCCCTGGCTTTTGCGCCTGTGACAAACAGAAGACGGACAAGGCTAGAGCTGTTCCTTACCGTTTAGACATGACAACACATGATGGACGTAACGAAAGTGAATGTTGTTTGACGTCGCACTCAGCAATATTCCAGCTATATGACGGCGGTCTGTAACTAATCGAGTTCACACACACGAAAAAGCTCATTTATGCCGAAAAAATTCATGAATTCCGATCCGTGTTTAAGGATCATAAAGAAATCCTGATGTTAATCATTGGAATCATGGAGAAAATAATAATTATAATAATGATAATCTTAACAATAGGCCATTTTTATTGCGCATATTTCCACACCACTGGTTGGTGCGGCGCTTTTATAATCTCGGTCACTGGATCAGTGTGCCCTCAAGAATCATTCTCAGCTCCCTGGGAAGTATACAACCCAAGCAGCCTGTTAAGGTTAACAACCACATTGGCTTTCATCCTACCATTCACTGCTGGGTGAACAGAGGCACATTTCGAACACACTTGCCCCAGGAGACGCCACATGTGGTACATGTGCTTCAGTGTGGGGCAGGACCGAAGCCCTAGAAACTCGCAGGAGCCAAGCTGACGAACATGTGTAATTTACCTCTTCCTGCGCCGTAATGAGGCCTCATCTGCCGATGTACCATCGGATGTCACAGATTCTACTCTTGCGAGCATTTTCTCCTTGATCATTTGAACTGTAAAGTTGATATAAAAAAAATAGCTTTATTTTTAAAATGTGAATGGGTTATGTTTTACGCCGATAAGATCGAGTGTGTAACTTATTAACAGTCATACAAATACTTCCAAATTGCATTTTTTTCAAATTGCATTATTTACATATTTAAGGAATTTAAAGAGATCTTTCAACTGAAAAAAACAACTACCTATATCTGGCCGCCGTCATTAAGCTCGCTTGTTGCTGAGTGCGGCGTAAAACAACAACCAAACAACAAACCCATAGCTGGTGTATTTCTTTACAATAACTATTATTCCTATTCATCATTTTCCAGAATGTCCAAGGCGTGCTTTATTTATAAAATATTTTTTATATATTATTATATATTTATTTATTTTTTAGTTTCAGTTACGTTTATTTATAAACATATTATATACATGTAGTACATAGATATCAGGTAATGTGCTTCATTTAGTGGTGCGCTGAATTTTTAAAATGCATTTTAACTTTTTTAAACTTCTTTGCCAAAACTGTCTTGTTTAGTTTCTCTTATGTTTACAACACGTATAGCTGTTTAACCCCGTCAAGGTAACTTTTTGGAACCGTTTTATTCAGTTATCTTCAAATCAATTCAAATTCATGAACAGCAGTTAAACATGGTTACTCCACTCAGACACTACATTAAGTCCGAGACGACCATTCCTTGTCTTATCCCTTAATGCAGAGCGTCAGGCAGGGAAACAACAAGTTTCGCCTTTTGGCTTGACGCGGCAAGGGATCGAGCCCCCGATCTTCCGCTCTCCGGGCAGACGCTCTATCCACTAGACTGCAGAGACGGTCACAGACAATAAGCTACTGAGTATCAAGTATTGGTTACTGGGAACGACGTGATAACCGGAATGCTTCTTCGCAAGTGTAACGCAAGTTTAGTTTGTTTCTTGTCAATCTGTGAAGGATTTGAAAACTGTTTTTTTTATGTTTAACGCCGCACTCAGCAATAATCCATCTATATGACGGCGGTCTGTAAATAATCGAGTCTGGACCAGACAATCTAGTGATTGACAACAGGAGCATCGATCCACGCAATTGGGATACGATGACATGCATCAACCAAGTCAGCGAGCCTGACCACCCGATCCCGTTAGTCGCCTCTTACGACAAGCATAGACGCCTTTCACGGCACGCATGGATTGCTAAAGACCTATTCTACCCCGATTTGGAAACTGAAGACATACAGAAAAAATATCTAAAAACGTTTTACATGGATAGTTTCTTGTCACTGTACAAAACTAATAAGAAACACCAGGCCTTATCTACAAAAGTAAATAAATCTACGTATAAAATAGTTGGCATCTTGAATTTAAAGCAAAATCATTGCCATTATACTTGTTTCTTATGACACATGGAAAAGTATTTAGCTCAGCTGATGTATTTTTTTATCCTTCCCGTATTTTTTTAATTTTGTCGCTTTCCATCGATTTTAGAGATATTAATAAATTACACCAGCTCTGTCTAGGCGGCCTGTCCACCATTTATCTGTTTTTGGTTGGTTGGTTTGTTGTTTAACGCCGCACTCAGCAATATTCCAGCTATATGACGGCGGACTGTAAATAATCGAGTCTGGACCAGACAATCCAGTGATTCACATCCACGAAATTGGGATCGATGACATGCATCAACCAAATTAGTGAGCCATTTATCTGTAATCTGGGACCTTAAATTTAACATTTCGTCAATATAAGCACTCGACAAATGATATAATGATAATAATATAATGATATAACAACAAACATAATCAAGCATATATATGATGCACAAACACCCCATTAATAGCATTGACAACAACAAAATGTATATATACATAGTTCCTCTTCTGTGTTTGGCTCACAGACAATCCAGCGTTCATCCCGGCGTGCATTAGCAAGTGATGATGTTTTAAGCCGCAGTGTACACTATTTTGATCAATATTCCATTTATGCATGTAAACAAAGGGGACCGGAAATTTTAGGCACCTGATCCTCATTTATGAGTGAGTGAGTTGGGTTTTACGCCGCTTTTAACAGTATTCCAGTTATATCACGGCGTGTCAGCTTAATGTGGGAGGAAAGCCCGAAATGATGCAGGTCTCAGACGTTTACCACTTCGGTGAAACCCACGAGCACGGGTATGGTGCTGAAAAACCTAGAAACATAATCGGGGCGAACCGGGATTCGAACCCACAATCATAGGTTTCTTGCGTACCCAAGGGACGCAACTCTGCACAGCGAATCGCGGCGCCTTAGACGACTGGGCCACCCGTGCCCCCCTCTCATTTATGACAAGCATCGGGTACAAGGGTACAAGGGTACCAGGGACCTATTCTGCCCCAAGGGAGGCAACTTAAGTCAGCTGTGTCTCTGCGTAGCTTTGGATACCTCGATACAATAACAGACGTCGCTGCTGATCCACCAGACGCTGCGCAATGTCCAATTTAATGCTTGAGGCGCGTGAGTCAGTATGGTCTTAAGCGGATGTATCCAAACTACAGTGATAAGATTTTCTCACCAAACATTGGCTTCACACATTGCGCCCCTGTGAGGAATCGAAGCTCGGCGTTCGGCGTGACGAGTGAACGCTTTATCCGCCCTGTTACTCCGCCCTGTTACTCCGCCCCCATGCATGAATATATGTATTATGGCACGATATGTACACTAAATACAGTAAAAAACATAAAACATCGATATACAAACACTTACATATATACTAAACAAAAAAGTTCGATCACGAATATTTTTAGGGATATGATTTCGAAGGGAAGAGTATTTTTTAGAATATCGACGGTATATAAAAAATATTTCATGATCATTTTTTTGTTCAGTATACAAGCAGGTACACATCTCACATGTTTGATATATCAAATCATGCATGTATAACTTCACCATTCTTTGAAATACAGTAAACTACGGTTATAGCGAACACGCATATAACGAACTGACGGATATAACGAACTTATTTGGTCCCGACTATTTGCTGTAGTTATTCTGTATATATGCTTATAACGAACTACGGTTATAACGAACTAAAATCAGTAGTCCCGATGAGTTCGTTATAACCGTAGTTTACTGTATATATTTGATACCACAGGTATTCCTCGTTTCAGTAAAGTTTTTAAACCTTAAGTTCGTTCATAAACATTTGGGGGGTACGACACATCAAGGTTTGACATCAACTCTTGTAACATCTATGGATTTGGAACAACACACGAAGGATCACAAGCACTTGTGTCGTTGCTTAAATACTTCGAGATCAATTAATATCACTAGTGTCATAAATGCATTGTCGTATTAAACCTTAACACAAGGCCAGACGCTCCGTACAACTCCGCTCGCCTTATATCGTTGTTTCTAAATTAAAATCGCAAATCATGCACAAATTCTTATCTACCTTGTCTGGGGTTATTGTTCTATCGATTCCAACACATTACACCTCCCAACTCTTTGTTGCTATGAAATTGTACCGTCCGAAAGCCGTCGACCCGTCTCTTTGAATTCAACTGGGCACAAATGGCTGACAGACCCACACAGAATGGGGGTGTCGGAAAGCAGTTCTGTGATTGGTCGATATTTTTTAGTTACCATGGTTTATTGCGGGAGTTCATGCAGTTTTTTAAAATTCGCCTGCTCAGCCTGTAAGTCCCGAATCATAACAGCAAGCCATAGGAGAGCTGATTGCCATCAATAGATGCTAGGCCATTGTTGTTTGTTTTTAACGCCGCACGCAGCAATATTCCAGGTATATGACGGCGGTCTGTAAATAATCGAGTCTGGACCAGACAATCCAGTGATTGACATCATGAGCATCGATCCACCCAATTCGGATACGATAACATGCATCAATCAAGTCAGCAAGCCTGACCACCCGTTCCCGCTAGTCGCTTCTTACGACAAGCATAGTCGCATTTTGAGGGCAATCATGGGTTGCCGAAGACCTATTCTACCACGGATCTTCACGGGTTCGCTACCAGCCCACTGAGATACCATGTCGCAGGTTAACACGAATACGCCGTCAGGGTAACAAGTACCATCTCTTTACGTATGTTGGTATGATGTGACTGGGGATCGAACCCCGAACCATCCACCCTCCGAATTGACGCTTCACACATTGAAACCATCGGGAGTATAGAACCTTGGACTTTTGCGTGACGGGCGAACGCTTTAACCACTGGGCTACCTTATCGTCCATTTAACAAGCAACATAGTACGGTGATCTATTCTAACCCTGATCTAGTGAGGTTTATTGATAACTTATCTCTGTATTTCGGTATTTTACATACTCCATTGTATTTCCTTCCCTTATAATCACCTTTAGCAATATTCCAGCAATTTCACGGCGGGGGACACCCGAAATGGGGTTCACACATTGTACCCATGTCGGGAATCGAACGCTTTAACCACTAGGCTACCAGACCGCCACTAATCACATACGAAAATACATGAATATTTTCAACATCAAAATAAAGAATGAGTGAGTGAGTGAGTTGGGTTTAACGCCGCTTTTAACAGTATTCCAGTTATATCGCGGCGTGTCAGCTTAATGTGGGAGGAAAGCCCGAAGTGATGCAGGTCTCAGACGTTTATCACTTCGGTGAAACCCACGAGCACGGGTATGGTGCTGACAAACCTAGAAACATAATCGGGGCGAACCGGGATTCGAACCCACAATCATTGGTTTCTGGCGTGCCCAAGGGACGCAACTCTGCACAGCGAATCGCGGCGCTCTAGACGACTGGGCCACCCATGCCCCCAAATAAAGAATGAGAAACGTGAAACTGCGATCTTTCACCTTAACCTGACCATTCCCTCGTACAGTATCTTAACAAACAGAAGCATGCATACACGAATTAGTATATAGGATATACAACATCAATAATATCGACAACGGAACAGTATGTACAGAGCGCTTCCTCATCCTCCTGCGGCAGTGTGTGGAGTTCGTAGGATTGGGCCACGTTTTGAGCAAAATAATCCTCCTCAACGACTGAGCAGTCGTCGCTGTAGTAACTGATGTCTTTGGTCTGTGGACGTCCTGTGTGCAGCGGTAAACACACACATGATTTTATATGTAAATTTTCGTTGTTGTTTTACGCCGCACTCAGCAATATTCCAGCTATATGATAGCGGTCTGTAAATAATCACTCTGACCAGACAATCCAGTGGTTGACATCATGAGCATCGATCAACGCAATTGGGATACGATGACATGCATCAACCAAGTCAGCGAGCCTGACCACCCGATCCCGTTCGTCGCCTCTTACGACAAGCATAGTCGCCTTTTGTATGGCAAGCGTTGGTTGCTACAGACCTATTCTACCCCCGATCTTCACGGTTGTCGCGCACATGACAACAACTGAGAATAAAAAGGTGTGATCATATAAACACTTATGAGTGAGTGATTTAGTTGGGTTTAACGCCGCTTTTAACAGTATTCCAGTTAAATCACGGCGTGTCAGCTTAATGTGGGAGGAAATCCAGAAGTGATGCAGGTCTCAGACGTTTACCACTTCGGAGAAACCCAAGAGCACGGGTATGGTGCTGACAAACCTAGAAACATAATCGGGGCGAACCGGGATTCAAACCCATAATCATAGGTTCCTGATGTGCCCAAAGGACGCAACTCTGCACAGCGAATTGCGGCGCCTTAGTCGACTAGTCACCCGTGTTTCCATTCTTATGTACAACCAGCATTGAATAAACAAACGATATAAAGGTTTCTTATTATTCATTCGACTCTATTTCAAAGAATTGTTTTGCGAACTGCAGGTTTGAGACGCTGCCTAAATGTCAACAAGAAAACGCTTCACGGGATGAGGCGAGGTGAAATTGGGTTTAACGTCGCGTCCAAGATTATTGCACTTCTATAGCGACGTGCTTGTACTAGTCCGGACTGATGCCGATTTATAGTGCTAAAACACTGAGATACCATGCCGCAGTTAAACATGAATACCCCACTCAGACACAGTATACTGACTCCGAGCCGACCAGTCCTTGATTTAGCCCTTTAACGCCGAGCGCCAGACAGGGTAACAACAAGTACCATTTTTAACGTCTTTTTGTATGACGCGGCCGGGGATCGAACCCCGGACCTTCCGCTCTCCGGGCGGACGCTCTACCATTAGACCACGGAGGCGGTCCTTCACGGGCTGAGCTGTTGCAGAGCTACTTCTGTGTGCGCCAGCATTAAGATGACAGGAAGAACCAGAGACGAACTAGAGATCAGAATGTTCAAGACACTTACTTTCTTGATCTTCGTCCTCATCGTCGGATTGTTCTATGAGGTAGGTCTTAAGAAACTGGGCAAAATGGCCGTCGTGGGACATCAGCTGATCGTAACTTCCGGTCTCCGTAATGGTGCCGTCATTCATGACAATGATCTGGTCCACCATGGGAAGCCAATGGACGCCATGCGTCACCAGGATCCGGGTCTGTGAAACAAGGATTTAGTGTTACATTTGAAAAAAAGTAATCAAATAAATAGTGATTTACGCTGTTTTGAACAACATCTTCAACCCCACGGGTATATCAGGAAAAGGTACCCAAACAGACATCAGTCGATGAAAGACATAAGCTATCGTGTATCAGACATATTATCCTGTTTTTTTGTGTGTGTTGTTTAACGCCGCACTGACCAATATTCCAGCTATGTGACGGAGGTCTGTAAATAATCGAGTCTGGACCAGACAATCAAGTGATTGACATCATGAGCATCGATCCCCGTAATTGGGATACGATGACATGCATCAACCAAGCCAGCGAGCCTGACCACCCGATCCCGTTAGTCGCCTCCTACGACAAGCACAGTCGCCGTTTATGGCAAGCATGGGTTGCTGAAGACCTATTCTACCCCGGATCTTTACGTGTCTCCAAATGACTGAACAGATAAACTAAGGAAGCCCTTGTACTACAAAGTGCGTCCCTTACTTGGCAATCCACCAATACACTAATCTGGACGGAAACGAGGCTGTATGTTCCGGACATTTTGTTTTCTATTTGTTAAGTGAACTAATGATTTGCAAGACTGTAAGCAATCAACATAAGGGACTATAACTATATTCAACAAAAGTGTTACGTAAATGTATTTTTACGCCGCAGTCAGCAATATTCAAACTATGTAACGCCAACCCGATATAAGGGGAATATGAACCCGCGGAACCTGAAATTGAAAGCGGAGCCAACGACCCCCATGATCGTGAGTGAGTGAGTTGGGTTTAACGCCGCTTTTAACAATATTTCAGTTATATCACGGCGTGTCAGCTTAATGTGGGAGGAAAGCCCGAAGTGATGCAGGTCTCAGACGTTTACTACTTCGGTGAAACCCACGAGCACGGGTATGGTGCTGACAAACCTAGAAACATAATCGGGACGAACCGGGATTCGAACCCACAATCATAGGTTTCTGGCGCGTCCAAAGGAGGCAACTCTGCACAGCGAATCGCGGCGCCTTAGGCGACTGGGCCACCTGTGCCCCCTCCACGTGATCGCGTTACGGTGACGTTTTATCAGCCAAGTCACCAAGCCTGATCCACGCAACCGGGGTACGATAACAAGAAATCAGCCAAGTGACCGGGTCTGTCGAGGTGATCTTCCACAGTTGGCGCTAACACGACCAGCACTTGCGACTTGGAACATAGCCTTCCCTGAAATAGATTTGATAAACTTCTTGTTGTGCTACGTACCTTTCCCTGGAGTAAGCCATTTGGGCCAACGACGTTCTTGAAGATGTGTTTTCCCACGTGACTGTCCACGGCGCTCAGAGGGTCATCGAATAGGTAGATGTCCGAGTTACTGTAGACCGCACGTGCAAGACTCACGCGCTGCTTCTGACCTCCGCTCAAATTGATACCCTGAAGGTCAAGGTCACCGATACATATTTAGAAAACGTTGCTTTATGCTGTTGCAAAAAATATTCGAACAATAATTTCTAAAATAAATTATGCCATTGTACAATCAGGTTTACCACTTTGGTGAAACCCTCAAGAACGGGTATGGTGCTGACAAACCTGGAAACATTATCATGGTGAACTCGTTTTCGATCCCACAATCATAGGATTCTGGCGTGCCCAAGGGACGCAACTCGAGGAGACTCAGATGACTTGGCCACCCTTGCCCCCGTCGGTTTCAGAGTCTTTGTCTGGAAAAATATACCTCTGATCGTCACTTTCTGTATTTCTAATCATGTTTCCTTCTCGTCATCAAGGGGGCAGGGGTGGCCCAGTCGTCTAAGGCGCCGTGATTCGCTGTGCAGAGTTGCGTCCCTTGGGCACGCCAGAAACCTATGATTGTGGGGTCGAATCCCGGTTCGCCCCGATTATGTTTCTAGGTTTGTCAGCACCATACCCGTGCTCGTGGGTTTCACCGAAGTGGTAAATGTCTGAGACCTGCATCACTTCGGGCTTTCCTCCCACATTAAGCTGACACGCCGTGATATAACTGGGATATTGTTAAAAGCGGCGCTGAACCCAACTCACTCACTCACTCTCGTCATCGAATTGTCTCGTCTACTTTACAGCAATTTCAACTCCGCTTATGGGTTCCAAACATAGGTAGCAACTCATTCGACGAGTCCAAATCATTATACCAATATTTAATTATTTTCGTTTTTATTTTTCTTATCATTAAATGTTTTATCTATTGTCATCATTTATCATATGTTTTATTGTAGAATTATAACGGGTTGCTATATGTTCTGTGAAGTTTCTTGATGAATATCACTGCCCACAATTTCAATCTAACTATGTTATTGGTAAGTATTAACATCCCTTGAGAGTTATACAACCACATCATGATGTCATCTCAACTAGTAAGATCCCCATTTCCGGATGAACAGTTCAAGTTTTCAAATTGGAGTGAGTGAGTATGGTTTTCCGCCGCTTTTAGCAATTTTCCAGCAATATCCCGGTGGGGGACACCAGAAATTGGCTTCACATTGTACCCATGTCGGGAATCGAACCCAGGTCTTTGGCGTTTTCAAATTGGAAAGGGCCCGGTTCAACAGGCTATCACAGTATGTCTTTACCTTTTCTCCAATTTCGGTCTCGTCCCCAGCAGCCAATATAGCTAGATCCGGTTGTAGTGCGCATGCCTCAATCACTGCCTGGTACTTCTGTTCACGGAATCTTTTGCCGAAGAGAATGTTGTCTTTGAGAGTGGCGTTTTGGATCCAAGCTTGCTGAGGAACGTAGGCCGTTGATGCCTGCGAAAATGTGAGTTAGTGATTGACTGAATAAATAAAAATGGTTGTTTAAAGGTATTTGATATGCCATTGCACTGTTTCGTTATCACACTAGCAGTGTTTCGTCATCTCACAGATGTGTTTCGTTACCACTCTAGCGGTGTTACGTTATCTCACCAGAACTGTTTCGTTATCACACTAGCAGTGTTTCGTTGTCTCACAGCACTGTTTCGTTACCACAAAGCAGTGTTTCGTTATCTCACCAGCACTGTTTCGTTACCACAAAGCAGTGTTTCGTTATCTCACAGCACTGTTTCGTTGCCACAAAGCAGTGTTTCGTTATCTCACCAGCACTGTTTCGTTTCCACAAAGCAGTGTTTCGTTATCTCACAGCACTGTTTCGTTTCCACAAAGCAGTGTTTCGTTATCTCACCAGCACTGTTTCGTTTCCACAAAGCAGTGTTTCGTTATCTCACCAGAACTGTTTCGTTAACACACTAGCAGTGTTTCGTTATCTCACAGCTGTGTTTCGTTCTCACCAGCACTTTTTGTGACCACAAAGCAGTGTTTCGTTATCACTCTAGCAGTGTTTCGTTATCTCACAGCTGTGTTTCGTTATCACACTAGTAGTGTTTCGTTATCTCACAGCTGTGTTTCGTTATCACTAGCAGTGTTTCGTTATCTCACAGCTCTGTTTCGTTATCACACTATCAGTGTTTCGTTATCACACTAGCAGTGTTTCGTTATGTCACAGCTGTGTTTCGTTATACCACTAGCAGTGTTTCGTTACCACAAAGCAGTGTTTCGTTATCTCACTAGCACTGTTTGTTACTACAAAGCAGTGTTTCGTTATCTAACAGCTGTGTTTCGTTACCACAAAGCAGTGTTTCTTTTATCATAGCTGTGTTTCGTTATCTCACCTTGACAGTAACGCTGCCTGACAGTTTCTCCATCTCACCCAAGATGGCGGATAAAAATGACGATTTCCCGCAACCCACGTGACCAACAATGGCGACCAGTTTTCCTTCCGGGACACTCAGATTGATGCTTGTCAAAGAGAAGGGATACAGTTAATTCACACAAAAACACGGGACTGTGAGAGATTATTTTTAGACATCGGTTATTGTCAGTGTCGGTGGTCAAGTTTAGTTTTGTTTTGTTGTTTGTTGTTTAACGCCGCACCAAGCAGTAGTCCAGCTACATAACGGCGGCCCCTTAGGCACGCTAACAACCTGCGAAGTAAGTTAATAATGAGTGAGTGAGTGAGTTGGTTTTAACGCCTCTTTGAACAGTATTCCAGTTATATCACGGGGGGTGTCAATATACTGCAGAAAAGCCCGAAGTGATGCAGGTCTCACCGCCCTGAGCTGCAAAAGATAAGCGGAGCGAAACGGGGTTCGAACACACGTTCACTGGTTCCTGACGTGCCCAAGGGACGCAACCCTGCACAGCGTCTTGATATGAAGTACACGTACACATAACGTGACATTAATCTTTCACACCGTTCCAACAAATAGTTTTTTTTTGTGATTTGAAAAAGTCTTTGGAAAACTTACCCCCTCAAGTTGGGGGACATACTCCTGTCCCAAGTGAAAGTACCCTTCTCTACCTGTACTGCATAATCTGAAACAAACGTACATAATTATATTAGGACCCTTGCTTAACTCCAATTTTAAGAACGGTATAATGTATACGTAGCATAAACAGTATGAAGGAAATAAGCGTCATTGTTAGGGACGGGAACACAACGTCCCTTTTCTCTGGGTACTGTACAGAATCGCGTGTATCTTCTTGTGTTTGGTCGTACGAGCCGACCGGTCCTTGTTTTAGACCCTTAATGCCGAGCGCCAGACAGGGTAACAACAAGTACCATCTTTTAACGTCTTTTTGTATGACGCGGTCGGGGATCGAACCCCGGACCTTCCGCTCTCCGGGCAGACGCTCTACCACTAGACCACGGAGGCGGTCAACAACAAACAACAACAACTTACCGGCGTGTTCGTCGTACGTGACGTTGCTCCTGTCGAGGTCTTCACTGCAGAGGTACTTATTCACTCTCTTGACCGAAACGTAGGCCTACAACAGTACGTGAAGCAACATGAGTGAGTGAGTGAGTTGGGTTTAACGCCGCTTTTAACAGTATTCCAGTCATATCACGGCGTGTCAGCTTAATGTGGGAGGAAAGCCCGAAGTGATGCAGGTCTCAGACGTTTACCACTTCGGTGAAACCCACGAGCACATGTATGGTGCTGACAAACCTAGAAACATAATCGGGGCGAACCGGGATTCGAACCCACAATCTTAGGTTTCTGGCGTGCCCAAGGGACGCAACTCTGCACAGCGAATCGCGGCGCCTTAGATGACTGGGCCACCCGTGCCCCCTGAAGCAACATGATATATCTCACTGTATGTTACCAATTCCAGCGCTATCCACGAGTGAGTGAGTGAGTGAGTGACTACCCGATTCTGGACCAGATAAACCGGTGATACACAGAATCATAGGACCAATGATCGTCCGGCAACTTGGACACAGGATTAGTCAGAACACAACTTGTAATCGACAAGGGGCGGTCGGGTAGCCAAGTAGTTAAAGTCTCGGGTTCGATTCCCGACATGGGTACAATGTGTAAAGCCCATTTCTGGCGTCCCTTGTCAAGATATTACTGGAATATTGCTAAAAGCGGCGTAAAACCATACTCACTCACTGTAATCGACAAAGTCATCATTTTAGTCGGATCTTGGGATTTATTCGGCCCTTGAATCACTCTTCATTGCCCGGGTACCATAAACCACATCAACGAGATAAAAAAATGAACTTTGACGGCAGACTCATCAGCCAAAATGTCCGCTGGGCCTCTAGTCAGCCATGTTCCAGAACGGGGAAAACGTTCGACCGGATCAGAAAATGGTTGGAATGATGTTGAATGACACACACCGTCGGGTATAATGACACACACCGTCGGGTATAATGACACACACCGTCGGGTATAATGACACACACCGTCGGGTATAATGACACACACCGTCGGGTATAATGACACACACCGTCCGGTATAATGACGCACACCGTCGGGTATAATGACACACACCGTCGGGTATAATGACACACACCGTCGGGTATAATGACACACACCGTCGGGTATAATGACACACACCTTCGGGTATAATGACACACACCGTCGGGTATAATGACGCACACCGTCGGGTATAATGACACACACCGTCGGGTATAATGACACACACCGTCGGGTATAATGACACACACCGTCGGGTATAATGACACACACCGTCGGGTATATTGACGCACACCGTCGGAATATAATGACACACACCGTCGGGTATATTGATGCACACCGTCGGAATATAATGACACACACCGTCGGACTATAATGACACACACCGTCGGACTATAATGATACACACCGTCGGGTATAATGATACACAACCGAGAAACATAATCGGGATTCGAACCCACAATCATAGGTTTCTGGCGTGTCCAAGGGACGCAACTCTGATAGCGAATCGCGGCGTCTTAGAACACAATGGAGAATCGTTCAATGGACTCTGATTTCAGTAAAGATGTCTAAGGATTATGGAAAGGGTGTTGTCGCGTTTATTTACTGAGAACCTGTTCTGTCCCGAGATTCCCATTAAAGGGACGGTTCCTACATCCAACGAAAGGTTGTGCCTTATCGTGCCAAAGCAGAATGCAGGTGTGCTACTCAAGGGAGATAACTGTCTCTTACCTGAACAGTATACGACATGATGGCGGAGAGAAGATTCATGGGGACCCGGAGGATGTTGAAGAGGGAGAGGGTGACGAAGGCTTTGTTGGCGTCCAACTGGTTGTTGGGGTCGGCGAGGACGTACGTTGCGAACGTTGCTGCAACTACCTACAACACATAAAAAGGACAAGCGATAATCAAGAGTGACTATTGTTTTTCGTGGCTTTATGTCTGCGGAGGAACGTTTCGATTGAGTAAAGACAATAAGTATAAGATTCCTTTCATTTATTAAGTTTGTTTGTTTGTTTTTTAACGCCGCACTCGGCAATATTAAAGCTTTATGACGGCGGTCTGTAAATAATCGAGTCTCGACCAGACAATCCAGTGTTTTGACATCATGTCAATTGGGATCGATGACATGCATCAACCAAGTCAGCGAGCCTGACCACCCGATCCCTTTAGTCGCCTCTTACGACAAGCATAGTCGCCTTTTACGGCAAGCGTGGGTTGCTGAAGACTGATTCTACCCCGGATCTTCACGGGTCGTTCCCATGTGGGGTATGAGCCCGTCTTCGGGGTGATGAGCAACGCTTTAACAATTAGGTTAAGCAACCGCCTCTTCCAGGTATATGACGCCGGCCTGAAAACAAGGTTTTGTTTGTTTGTTGTAAATGTTTAACGCCGCTCTCAGCACTCTTCCAGCTATGACGGCGGACTGTAAATAATTGAGTCTGGACCAGACAATCCAGTGATTGACATCATGAGCATCGGTCCACGCAATTCTACCCCGGATCGTAACGTAGCTAGAAACAATGTATGTGTATCTGTACCAGGAATGGTGCGACGGTCCAGCCGAGCCCGGTGAGAATGGAGAGGTAGGAGATCTTTAATTGTGAATGAATCTCTCTCTTCCTGATCTCCTCGACCTTGCCTTTGAACGACTCCTCCCAAGCGTATAGCTTCAGCACCTGCAAAAAACAGCATCGCGGGGGGTTAATAATGTTTTACGCCACTGTCAACAATCGAGTAAGAGACAGAGATGCAAGCTAACTGACGGATGAGTGAGGTGAGGTGAGGTGAGGTGAAATTGGGTTTAACGTCGCGTCCAAGATTATTGCACTTATATAGCGACGTGCATGCACGTGTTTGCGTGGCTGCTTGTACTAGTCCGGACTGATGCCGATTTATAGTGCTAGCTCACTGAGATACCATGTCGCAGTTTAACATGAATACCCCACTCAGACACAGTATACTGACTCCGAGCCGACCAGTCCTTGTTTTAGCCCCCTAATGCCGAGCGTCAGACAGGGTAACTACAAGTACCATCTTTTAACGTCTTTTTGGTATGACGCGGCCCGGGATCGAACCCCGGACCTTCCGCTCTCCGGGCGGACGCTCTACCACAAGACCACGGAGGCGGCGACGGATGAGTGAGAAAGTCAGGAACGAGTAAGCAATTGAATCGGTGTGCCGCCCACAGCAATAGTCCAGCTATATGACGGCGGCCTGTAAATAATAAAGTCTGGACGAGACAATCCAGTGATTGACATCATGAGCACCGATCGATATGATAGGATGACACGCAATCAACCAAGTCACCGAACCCTACCACAAACAAACAAATCCGACATTGAGAATGTGACACGGGCTTTCAGCCTGAGAAGTGAGTGAGTGAGTTGGGTTTAACGCCGCTTTTAACAGTATTCCAGTTATATCACGGCATGTCAGCTTAATGTCGGAGGAAAGCCCGAAGTGATGCAAGTCTCGTACGTTTACCACTTTGGTGAAACCCACGAGCACGGGTATGGTGCTGACAAACCTAGAAACATAATCGGGGCAAACAGGGATTCGACCCCACAATCATAGGTTTCTGGCGTGCCCAAGGGACGCAACTCTGCACAGCGAATCGCGGCGCCTTAGACGACTGGACCGCTCGTGGCCCATTGAGTCTGAGGAACAAATATTACAGCAAAAGCAACAAGCTGGTGTTTGAGGTGAGGTGAAATTGGGTTTAACATCGCGTCCAAGATTATTGCACTTATGTAGCGACGTGCATGCACGTGTATGTGTGTGTGTGGCTGCTTGTACTAGTCCGGACTGATGCCGACTTTATAGTGCTAATCAACTGAGATACCATGCCGCAAACACGAATACCCCACTCAGACACAGTATACTGACTCCGAGCCGACCAGTCCTTGTTTAAGCCCTTTAATACCGAGTGCCAGACAGGGTAACAACAAGTACCATCTTTTAACGTCTCTTGGTATGACGCGGCCGGGGATCGAACCCCGGACCTTCCGGTCTCCGGGCGGACGCTCTACCACTAGACCACGGAGACGGTCAGCTAGTGTGTGTAGTTTTCGAACCTTTATTCCATTGAGGATCTCATTCAGCAGTTTGATCCGCTGATCTTTGTCCTTGAGGTTGCGGGTCTGCAGATGACGTTGTATGTTGGAGAGGTAGCCGTTGAAGGGAATCATGATGAGGAGGACGGCGAGACCGGCGAACACGGACGGTCCTATTGTGACGTACAGCAGGATGATGGACAGAATGATCTGGACAGGCACTGACCACAGCAGGAAGAGGTAGTTCATGACGTCGTTGATGCGTTGGCTGTCCACGGACATCAAGTTGACAATCTCGCCGGTAGTCGTGGTTTTCTTGGCCTCGTTGCTTAACGTCAGAGCCTGAAAAGAAAACAATCTGATCACAACAGAGCTATGTTTGATGATCAGCCATTGAGTGTGTACTTAAATGGTACGATTTACATTGTGTATTGACGTTTGATGACCAGAACTAGGTGACATATATATGTATAATTATCTGTGTGTGTGTGTGTGTGTGTGTGTGTGTGTGTGTGTGTGTGTGTGTTGGGGGGGGGGGGGGGGGGGTTCAATGATTCATGACTTGGGTATTTATATTTATTATAATTTATTACTTTGGGTATCTCATCATTAATCTTTACTAGGCGTTTCCGTTAGATTTCTTTACAATGGGTGTTCATTATAATTCCTAACTGGCGGTGTTCATAATCCATGAATTGGGACATATTTTATTGTTCATCAGGTGTGGTGTTCGTTATAATTTATTACTTGGGATGTTCATTATAATTCATTACTAGGTGTGTTCATTATAATTCAACACTTCGGGGTGTTCATTATAATTCATTACTTGGGGTGTTCATTATAATTCATTACTTGGGGTGTTCATTATAATTCATTACTTGTGGTGTTCATTATAATTCATCCCTTGGTGTGTTCATTGTAATTCATTACAGGGGGAATAAATATATCTAGGCAATAAAAATTGACACCGATCGATTTGACGGGGGGCTTCAAATGCGCTTTAAAAATGTACATGTATGTCTTTGTTGGACAGTATTTCAGTTATATCACAGCATGTCAGGGTCGTGGGGGGATGTTTTCTACTTCACTAGAGCATGGGCCTCGAGAATATCCGAGTATAGAATAGGTCTTCAGCCACCCATGCTTGCCAAAAAAGGCGACTATGCTTGTCGTAAAGGCGAATAACGGGATCGGGTGGACAGGCCTGCTGACTTGGTTGATGCATGTCATTGTATCCCAATTGCGTAGATCCGTGCTCATGGCATCAGTCACTGGATTGTCTGATCTAGACTCGATTATTTACAGACCGCCGTCATATAGCGGGAAGAGTGCGCCGTGAAACAAGAAACAAACAAACAAGCAAACAAAACATGGGTCTGTTGCTGAAAAACAGTCAGTGTAAGTAACGCGTTTCTGGCAGTCGAACCCACAAAAAGAGGTCTCTAGCACGCCTGAGTGACACAGCACAGCGACGTCTGGGCCACCCGCAACCGCAGTATATTTTTTACTATGCTGGAAACGTAAATGGGGTACTGTGTATTATAGTCAGTGCCCGTACAGCCACGCCCTGGTCGCCTCACCTTCTTGTAAAGGGCCGCAATGAGGGTGGTCTTCATCTGCATCCCGAGGATGGCGGCCTGGTTGAGACTGGCCTGGTAGAAGATGCTCCTGAGCGTGGACAGCAGCAGCAGCCCTGTGGCCAGCACGTACCCCTTCCACTCTTCCCCGGGGGTCTTGTTGGAGATGTAGTTGATCAGCACGCTGCAGTAAGAGTGAGTGAGTGAGTGAGTGACCGAGTGAGCGAGTGAGGGAGTGAGTGAGTGAGTGAGTGACCGAGTGAGTGACAAAGTGAGTGAGTGACCGAGTGAGTGACAAAGTGAGTGAGTGACCGAGTGAGTGAGTGAGTGAGTGACCGAGTGAGTGAGACCGAGTGAGTGAGTGAGACCGAGTGACCGAGTGACCGAGTGAATGAGTGAGTGAGTGAGTGAGTGAGTGAGTGAGTGAGTGAGTAGGCATCTATTTAACATCTCTAGTTGCTGCATCTCAATTTTTAATAGACGATGTATTGATATCGGTTTGTATTCAGAAAACGCCTACATGGTCTCGTGGACAGAGCGTATGCCCAGGGAGCGGAATGTAGGGGTTCGATCCCGGGCCTTGTCATACGAAAGGGTCGGTTAAAATATGCTGTTACTCTGTCTGGCACTCGGATTGAGCTGGTTAAAACAGGCACTGGTCAGCTCGGAGTCAGTCGGCAATATGTCTGTAATAACCGCGACGTTAAACCCCATTTCACCTGACCTCATGTTGTATTTAGATATATAAGATAGCTACGCGATAAATCGCAAAGAACAATGAAGAACGAAACGCGGTTTATTTCACGATAAAACATGTTTCTATCATGACATCATTAACGCAGTGGCCGAACGATCGCATCCAAAAGTGGGAGAGATATGACAATCGGTACCACGCAACACTTACCTCATAACAAGAGGCCCCGCCATCTGTAGAAGATCAGCGACAAACTTGACGCCAAACAGCGAGAGGAGGCTGCAGCCGTATAGTCGCCATAGGACTCTTATCAGTGATGGCCGCAGCAGACCACGTGCTGGGTCGTCCTGGTCGGCCTTCTTGTCCGTCGAGTTGACCATACCCTTGACCAGTGGGCTCTCGCCATTCTGTTTGGACTTTTTGGGTGGGATAAGTGAGGTTCTTTCACTGTGCGTGTGGCCGACAGTCACCGCACCATTTGTGTAAATTATTTTTCTCTTTGCTCTCAAAAATAAACTGGAAAGGAAGGGTTTTAAGAATTAGTAGTTATGGGGTTATTTACGAGAGATGTAGGAATTTTCTCATAATTTAATATGTTTGTGTTTGTATTACCAGTGTTCTACAAATAAAAGCGACAAACCCCTAAGTTTTAACCAAAGCAGAGATGATTGTTCGATTCCGATAATAACTTGAGAATGTGTTTATGAATCATTATCAAATAAACCACTCATAATATCTTTTGGTTATAAATGTTACGACAACGATAAACTAAGTTATTGAGTTGGGATCTAGGAAACAGTTGAGTGAGTGAGTTGTGTTTAACGCCGCTTTTAACAGTATTCCAGTCATATCATGGCGTGTCAGCTTAATGTGGGAGGAAAGCCCGAAGTGATGCAGATCCTAGACGTTTACCACTTCGGTGAAACCCACGAGCACGGATATGGTGCTGACAAACCTAGAAATATAATCAGGGCGAACCGGGATTCGACCCCACAATCATAGGTTTCTGGCGTGCCCAAGGGGCGCAACTTTGCACAGCGAATTGCGGCGCCTTAGACGACTGGGCCACCCGTGCCCCCTATCTAGGAAAGGAACGACAGACATTGAACTAGGCATGTGGAGGTGAACTAATAAATTAATGTAATTCAGCATACCACATACAGAAGACGCTGTATAATCCGGCACTGCTCCGACAGGGGAATTTTCGATTAGACAGTTGTCGGTTCAGACAGTTTCATGGCCGAATTCAACCTCAATGATTCACTCAGTTCATGTGTAATTCAAATGAGGATTATCAATTGAGGATTATCAATTGAGGATTATCAATTGAGAATTATCAATGGAGGATTATCAATGGAGGATTATCAATGGAGGATTAACAATTGAGGATTATCAATTAAGGATTATCAACTGAGGATTATCAATTGAGGATTATCAATTAAGGATTATCAACTGAGGATTATCTATTGAGAATTATCCTTCTTGCTGCACAAAGCATGACACTTTCATTGGTTCATTGTAGATTAATTCCCGTTAAGCGTGGAGTGTTTACTGAAGGTTGTGTACATCTTCGCTTAAGAAAAAAATCAATTTTTTGAGCGTTTATTTTAAGGTAATCGTTGTTCTTGCGTTAATGTCGGAATACACAAAGTGGGTATGTTCAACCCACCACAAAGCTGTGTCGGAATTCGGAACAGACAGATGTCGGATTACACAGGGGGGCTGAGCTGGGACCATTTTTTTGTCTGATTAGACATGTACAGATGCCGAAATACACAGTCTACTGTACTTGATGTGTGTCAAATTAAAAATGGCACATGCAACAATTGCCGAGTAATATGCAAGGACGGCATTTACAACGCGTCTGACGTTTGTTTGTTTGTTTGTTGTTTAACACCGCACTCAGCAATATTCCTGCTACATGACGGCGGTCTGAAACATAATCGAGTCAGGACCAGACAATCCAATGATCGACATCATGAGCATCGATCCACGCACGGGGGATGCGATGACATACATCAACCAAGTCAGCGAGCCGACCATGGGTTGCTTAGGATCTATTCTTACCCGGATCTATGAATAATGATATCTGAACTTTTCATTTTTTCTTGTTATAGTATCGACATCACTACCGACACTAATGGTGTTTGTTTGAAATGATTACAATAAATATGATTTTGATATTTTATAAGTTGAGTTAAACTTTGATGAAACTTACTTTTTGGTTTTCACTTTATTTACTTCTTGAGTCCATTCTTTCTCAAAAGGTGGCACCAATGTCCGGCTCTGGTCACGTGGGTTGAGGTCCCAGAGATCGTCCTCTTCTATGCCTCGTTTGTAGCCAATGAAGACCAGCCTGGAGTGAGTGAGTGAGTTTGAACACATTAGTTACCGTCAGCTTGTGGAAGGACAGACGAAAGATGATGAGTTAGTAAGTATAGTTTTACGCCGCTTTTATCAATATTCTAGCAATATCCCGTGGGGGGGGGACACCAGGAATGAGCTTCACCCAGTGTACCCCATTGTACCGGGATTGCGGCATGACGAGAAACATCTTCACGATGCAAGGGCGTTTAGTGACTTTAAAAGTCCAGTTTCCACCCTTGCCGAACTAGGTCGGAATGTCTAGGTTGATTGTAGCGCACTAGTGGCTATTACGAGTTATGTCCCCTTATATCTCTCCTATAGACCAATCAGATTACACCTCTCATATCTCTTTCAATTGCCTCAAACAAAATGGCAGTGCCCAATCAAGACGATCTGATCGATCATGAAGATCTATATAGTCATATTATGGGTCTTGCTTCGAAAAGTGGATCAAATCACGTAAGCACCTTGATTAAAATCATGAAAAGATTTGGAAAATATCTGTTGACGCCGAGTTGGCGGTACACATGCTTTGCAAATCCTCCAATCGACCGAAATCTGTACGACAGTTTATGAACGGGATTTCGATTTCGATTTCGTTGCGCGATTTTGATTGGGCTATTCATAGACTCGTTAGTCAAGCCAAAATATAACTCCATATTTCCTTGTTCGGCAAGGGTGGAAACTGGACTTTTATGGTCAGTTAACTCCCTTGCCTCGGGAGGATGGACAAGCGAACGCACTAACCACTTGACGACCTCACCGCCCCGCAATTCGAAGACGCTTACTACTATAATTCTGCAATACTCATACACTATGATCACAGAAGAGCAATGGGTGTCACTGCACCGATGTCTGGAAATGGAACCCGGGTCTTCGGCGTGTCGAGCCAACACTTTAACCAATGAGCTACCAAACAGACCAATCGACGACCATTATTGGGGTGAATTTGAGATTCGAGAGAATGAGTGACAATGAATTTACGCCGCTTTTAGCAATATTCTAACAATAACACGATGGGGGACGTCAGATATTAGCTTCACACATTGTACCCATGTTTCCTTTTTCGTTGTTTAACGCAGCATTCAGCAATATTCCAGCTATATGACGGCGGTCTGTAAATAATCGAGTCTGGACAAGACAATCCAGTAATTGACATCATGAGCATCGATCCACGCAATTGGGATCGATGACATGCATCAACCAAGTCAGCGAGCCTGACCACCCGATTCCTTTAGTCACCTCTTACAACAAGCATAGTCGCCGTTTATGGTAAGCGTGGGTTGCTGAAGACCTATTCTACTCCAGATCTTCACGGGTCTCCAAATGACTGAAAAGAAAAACTAAGGAAGCCCTTGTACTTTAATGTGCGTCACTTACTTGGCAATCCACCAATACACTAATCTGGACGGAAACGAGGCTGTAACTTCCGGACATGGCCGCTGAAATTAGATAGAAAACGAACCATTGAGTGAGTGAGTGAGTGAGTTGGGTCTAAAGCCGCTCTGAAAAGTATTCCAGTTGTATCACGGTGTGTCAGCTTGATGTGAGAGAAACGCCCAAAGTAATGCAGGTCTTAGTCGTTTGCCACTAGAAACAAACCCAGAAACATAATCGGGGAGAACCTGGATTCGAACCCACGATCATTGGTTTGTGGCGTTCCCAAGGGACGCAACTCTGTGTGAATGTATATCACTTGTAATATAACTAAATAATTTTAGAAATGTTAAGCATAACAGATTCTTCTGAATTTTCGTTCCGACGTGAAATAATAAAGAGTTTTCTTATTTCATGTTTCCCCGCCGCTGTGAAAATTTATGCCCCGATGTGATAAAAATATGCACCCAAAACAATTGCACATAAAAAAAACAGGGTCAGCTGGATTTTTCCTCGGCTTTATTTTAAAAAAAATCGTGTCCAAAGCAAGGCGACAGAAAAAGTTAATTTAAGGACTGTTACGAAGTGTTCTAAATTTGAAGATTTCATGAAATAAGTTACAAAATTAGTGAAAAATAGGGGTTTTAAAAAAGATTTAAATCTCGCCGCTCGCTCTCTTCCAGGTTGAGGTTGGAGATGAGAAACATAAAAAAACATGGATGGCCTAATTATCACCAACAACTCACGTTTCCCAGCTATTCTCATTGGTGATATTGTATACTCTTTATTACACAACATTGTCATATTCAAAAGTATGCAAAAATATATTATGTCATAAAGGGATTGATACGGAAGATGTTATCTTGAAATTTGAACTTAGTATATATCTTGAAATGTCAACTCATTATCTTGAAATATCAACTTCGTATCTTGAAATTTAAAAAACAAACAAAAAACAACAACAAATGGCCCTAAAAGGCTTCCGTAGATTTGATTAACAGTCTTATTAACGTCAACTTATATACTAATATACATATCATATTTTACATTTGTTGTGTTACCATTTATTGAGTGAGTGAGTATGGTTTTACGCCGCTTTAAGCAATATTCCAGCAATATCACGGCCGAGGACACCAGAAATGGGCTTCACACATTGGACCCATGTCGGGAATCGAACCCGGGTCTTCGGCGTGACGAGCGAACGCTTTAACCACTTGGCTACCCGACTGCCCCGTGTTACCATTTAAAACCTACCACCAGATGACTGGTATATAGCATTCATCACAGCAATAGTTTATGTAATCTTATTTATTACTGATGTTACTACATGTATATCCATGTTAGTATCGTACTTTATATGCACCTTATATATTTCAATATTTACACTTGCCCGCTGTCTGTATAAATGTTTATGGAAAGGGCACTGTGAATTGCATAACTTTTGCCTAATCCATTTGACCTTCTGATGTCAATAAAGTAAGTTTAAAACAATAACTTACGTTCCCAATGACTTCGTATCCCTGTCGGAGTTTCGGGGTGTCAGAAAACCATTGAAGTATGAATTCGAAAAGAAGCAATCCAAATTTGATATAAAACACTACAAATGTTGCCAAATCGTCTTCGTATTCCTGAAAGAAACGAAACGAACTCAAATATAAACATTTGCAATTAATGTGTACATAAACATATATTGCACAAAATCACTCCTGACAATGAATTGTTTGAAACGTTCATAAAACTAATCTTTTTTCAAGTGTTTCAAACTGAGACCTGACCGAAATATTTCTTTATCAAAAACATGACCTACATGTTAAGTACACACGCGACAGCATAGATGTAGTCTGACACGTGGTAATATTTACACACGTGGGGAATGTCCTGGATCACGAGACTGAGATAACATGCTATCTAAGGTCTTCACGTTTGAAGTTGCTCCATGCTTATAAAACAAAGGCATCTACGTTTAAAGTAGCTCAATGCTCATATAACGAAGGTCTTTACGTTTAAAGTAGCTCATTGTTTATATAACAAAGGTATCTACGTTTAAAGTAGCTCCATGCTTATAAAACAAAGGTATCTACGTTTAAAGTAGCTCCAAGCTTATGAAACGGGGGTCTTTACGTTTAAAGTAGCCCAATGCTTATATAACAAAGGTATCTACGTTTAAAGTAGCCCAATGCTTATATGACAAAGGTCTTTACGTTTAAAGTAGCCCAATGCTTATATGACAAAGGTCTTTACGTTTAAAGTAGCTCAATGCTTATGTAACGAAGGTCTTTACGTTTAAAGTAGCCCAATGCTTATATGACAAAGGTCTTTACGTTTAAAGTAGCCCATTGCTTATATGACAAAGGTCTTTACGTTTAAAGTAGCCGAATGCTCATATAACGAAGGTCTTTACGTTTAAAGTAGCCCATTGCTTATATGACAAAGGTCTTTACGTTTAAAGTAGCTCCAAGCTTATATGACAAAGGTATTTACGTTTAAAGTAGCTCCAAACTTATATAACAAAGGTCTTTACGTTTAAAGTAGCTACAAGCTTATATAACTAAGGTCTCTACGTTTAAAGTAGCTCCAACGTCGCTATATAAGTGCAATAATCTTGGACGCGACGTTAAACCCCATTTCACCTCACCTAAAGTAGCTCCATGCTTATAAAACAAAGGTCTTTACGTTTGAAGTAGCTCCAAGCTTATATAACTAAGGTCTCTACGTTTAAAGTAGCTCCATGCTTATATAACAAAGGTCTTTACGTTTAAAGTAGCTCCAAGCTTATATAACAAAGGTCTCTACGTTTAAAGTAGCTCAATGCTCATATAACGAAGGTCTTTACGTTTAAAGTAGCTCATTGTTTATATAACAAAGGTATCTACGTTTAAAGTAGCTCCAAGCTTATGAAACGGGGGTCTTTACGTTTAAAGTAGCCCAATGCTTATATAACAAAGGTCTTTACGTTTAAAGTAGCCCATTGCTTATATGACAAAGGTCTTTACGTTTAAAGTAGCTCCAAGCTTATATAACAAAGGTCTCTACGTTTAAAGTAGCTCATTGGTTATATAACAAAGGTCTTTACGTTTAAAGTAGCTCAATGCTCATATAACAAAGGTCGCAACGTTTAAAGTTGCTCCAAGCTTATATAACAAAGGTCTTTACGTTTAAAGTAGCTCTAAGCTTATATAACCTCAGCTCTCTACGTTTAAAGTAGCTCCATGCTTATAAAACAAAGGTCTTTACGTTTAAAGTTGCTCCAAGCTTATATAACAAAGGTCTTTACGTTTAAAGCAGCTCCAAGCTCATATAACAAAGGTCTTTACGTTTAAAGTAGCTCATTGGTTATATAACAAAGGTCTTTACGTTTAAAGTAGCTCAATGCTCATATAACAAAGGTCGCAACGTTTAAAGTTGCTCCAAGCTTATATAACAAAGGTCTTTACGTTTAAAGTAGCTCTAAGCTTATATAACCTCAGCTCTCTACGTTTAAAGTAGCTCCATGCTTATAAAACAAAGGTCTTTACGTTTAAAGTTGCTCCAAGCTTATATAACAAAGGTCTTTACGTTTAAAGCAGCTCCTAGCTTATATAACAAAGGTCTTTACGTTTAAAATAGCTCCAAGCTTATATAACTAAGGTCTTTACGTTTAAAGTAGCTCCATGTTTATATAACAAAGGTCTCTACGTTTAAAGTAGCTCCAAGCTTATATAACAAAGGTCTTTACGTTTAAAGTAGCTCCATGTTTATATAACAAAGGTCGTTACGTTTAAAGTTGTCCAAGCTTATATAACAAAGGTCTTTACGTTTAAAGTTGCTCCAAGCTTATATAACAAAGGTCTCTACGTTTAAAGTAGCTCCAAGCTTATATAACTAAGGTCTCTACGTTTAAAGTAGCTCCAAGCTTATATAACAAAGGTCTTTACGTTTAAAATAGCTCCAAGCTTATATAACTAAGGTCTCTACGTTTAAAGTAGCTCCAAGCTTATATAACTAAGGTCTTTACGTTTAAAATAGCTCCAAGCTTATATAACTAAGGTCTCTACGTTTAAAGTAGCTCCAAGCTTATATAACTAAGGTCTCTACGTTTAAAATAGCTCCAAGCTTATATAACTAAGGTCTCTACGTTTAAAATAGCTCCAAGCTTATATAACTAAGGTCTCTACGTTTAAAATAGCTCCAAGCTTATATAACTAAGGTCTTTACGTTTAAAGTAGCTCCATGTTTATATAACAAAGGTCTTTACGTTTAAAGTAGCTCCGAGCTTATATAACTAAGCTCTCTACGTTTAAAGTAGCTCCATGCTTATAAAACAAAGGTCGCAACGTTTAAAGTTGCTCCAAGCTTATAAAACAAAGGTTTTTACGTTTAAAGTTGCTCCAAGCTTATATAATAAGGTCTTTACGTTTAAAGCAGCTCCAAGCTTATATAACTAAGGTCTCTACGTTTAAAGCAGCGCCAAGCTTATATAACTAAGGTCTCTACGTTTAAAGCAGCTCCAAGCTTATATAACAAAGGTCTTTACGTTTAAAGTTGCTCCAAGCTTATATAACAAAGGTCTTTACGTTTAAAATAGCTCCAAGCTTATATAACAAAGGTCTTTACGTTTAAAGCAGCTCTAAGCTTATATAACAAAGGTCTTTACGTTTAAAGTAGCTTAAAGCTTATATAACGAAGGTCTCTACGTTTAAAGTTGCTCCAAGCTTATATAACTAAGGTCTCTACGTTTAAAGTAGCTCCATGTTTATATAACAAAGGTCTTTACGTTTAAAGCAGCTCCAAGCTTATATAACTAAGGTCTCTACGTTTAAAGTAGCTCCATGCTTATTAAACAAAGGTCGCTACGTTTAAAGTTGCTCCAAGCTTATATAACAAAGGTCTTTACGTTTAAAGCAGCTCCAAGCTTATATAACAAAGGTCTTTACGTTTAAAATAGCTCCAAGCTTATATAACAAAGGTCTTTACGTTTAAAGCAGCTCCAAGCTTATATAACAAAGGTCTTTACGTTTAAAGTTGCTCCAAGCTTATATAACAAAGGTCTTTACGTTTAAAATAGCTCCAAGCTTATATAACAAAGGTCTTTACGTTTAAAGCAGCTCTAAGCTTATATAACAAAGGTCTTTACGTTTAAAGTAGCTTAAAGCTTATATAACGAAGGTCTTTACGTTTAAAGTTGCTCCAAGCTTATATAACTAAGGTCTCTACGTTTAAAGTAGCTCCATGTTTATATAACAAAGGTCTTTACGTTTAAAGCAGCTCCAAGCTTATATAACTAAGGTCTCTACGTTTAAAGTAGCTCCATGCTTATTAAACAAAGGTCGCTACGTTTAAAGTTGCTCCAAGCTTATATAACAAAGGTCTTTACGTTTAAAGTTGCTCCAAGCTTATATAACAAAGGTCTTTACGTTTAAAATAGCTCCAAGCTTATATAACAAAGGTCTTTACGTTTAAAGCAGCTCTAAGCTTATATAACAAAGGTCTTTACGTTTAAAGTAGCTTAAAGCTTATATAACGAAGGTCTTTACGTTTAAAGTTGCTCCAAGCTTATATAACTAAGGTCTCTACGTTTAAAGTAGCTCCATGTTTATATAACAAAGGTCTTTACGTTTAAAGTAGCTCCAAGCTTATATAACTAAGGTCTCTACGTTTAAAGTAGCTCCATGCTTATTAAACAAAGGTCGCTACGTTTAAAGTTGCTCCAAGCTTATATAACAAAGGTCTTTACGTTTAAAATAGCTCCAAGCTTATATAACAAAGTTCTTTACGTTTAAAGCAGCTCTAAGCTTATATAATAAAGGTCTTTACGTTTAAAGCAGCTCCAAGCTTATATAACAAAGGTCTTTACGTTTAAAGTAGCCCCAAGCTCATATATCAAAGGTATCTACGTTTAAAGTTGCTCCAAGCTTATATAACAAAGGTCTTTACGTTTAAAGTAGCTCCAAGCTTATATAACAAAGGTCTTTACGTTTAAAATAGCTCCAAGCTTATATAACAAAGGTCTTTACGTTTAAAGCAGCTCTAAGCTTATATAATAAAGGTCTTTACGTTTAAAGCAGCTCCAAGCTTATATAACAAAGGTCTTTACGTTTAAAGTAGCCCCAAGCTTATATAACAAAGGTATCTACGTTTAAAGTAGCTCCAAGCTTATATAACAAAGGTCTTTACGTCTATATAATAGCTCCATGCTGAAATAACAAAGGAAGGTCTTTATGTTTAATGTAGCTACCTGCTCATGTAACAAAACGGACATCGGAGTCTCGAGGATATGAACTTAATACCTTCAATAATCCGCATGAGATTTTTGATCAGACACATATACTGAACGAACAATTTAGGGATCATGAATAATTTTGGGGATATTTTCATGAAAGTGTCTGTTCAATCCTCACTACAAAAATAATTCCCCCTAAAATATTCATCATCCCCGACTTTTTTGGTTCTGCATACAGTAAACTACGGCTATAACGAACACGCTTATAACGAACTGTATATTTTGGTCCCGCCTATTTGTTGTATATGCGTTGTGTATACGCTTATAACGAACTACGGCCATTACGAACTAAAATAAGGTGTCCCTTTGAGTTCGTTATAACCGTAGTTTATTGTATATTGAAAGTTGATATATATTTTAACATATTTTTAAAAAGCGATAATTAACTTATTGAAAGCGATACAGGTTATGGCAGATACACAATCATACAGAAGACAATAGTTGCTAGCCAGCGACAAATAATGTGTTGCACTCTCGAAACAGACTCGATGCCGTTCACGCACATACACCTGATGACGACACCGAGCGTTTTAAAGCTCGATCGACTCGATTGTTTTTATATTTTATATATTTCTGTATCTTAGATTCGTATAATAATCATTTTGGATCATTCTTTTTTCTGGGTTTATAAGAAAACGTTCTTAACTTAAAATAAGTATTTCAGTAACCGCATGTCGCGTCAATGTTAATGTTGAGTCCAGGTATTTTACTACCTGGTTAAACCTGGGCCCGTTCCTCAAAGCAGTCTTAGCGCTACGACTATCGCGAAGATAGCTATGTGGGACGGCGCCCAGATCCTGAGTGGTGATGGTCTGAATTTGAAAAACGGGCGGAATCTGGGATTGGAATGTGGAACGTAATTGAATGTGGTGGTTGGTGGATGTGTCAGCGAGCCTGACCCCCCTGATCCTATAAGACGCCTCTTACGAGAGATGAGAGAGGAGAAAAGAGTGAGTGAGTGAGTGAGTGAGTGAGTGAGTGAGTGAGTGAGTGAGTGAGTGAGTGAGTGAGTGAGTGAGTGAGTGAGTGACACACACACACACACACACACACACACACACACACACACACACACACACACACACACACACACACACACACACACACACACACACACACACACACACACACACACAGGGCTGCATATTAAATTTGGGGAAAATTTTGGGTTGGTTGGTTTGTTGTTTAACGCCGCATTCGGCAATATTCCAGCTATATGACGGCGGTCTGTAAAATAATCGAGTCTGGACCAGACAATCCAATGATTGATATCATGATCATCGATCCACGCAATTGGGATCGATGACATGCATCAACCAAGTCAGCGAGCCTGACCACCCGATCCCGTTTGTCGCCTTTTACGACAAGCATAGTCACCTTTTACGGCTAGCATGGGTTGCTGAAGATCATCGAATCTGGACCGGACAATCCAGTGATTGACACCATGAACACCGATCTGCGCAATTGGGATACGATGACATGTATCAACCAAGTCAGCGAGCCTGACCACCCGATCCCGTTAGTCGCCTCTTACGGCAAGCATAGTCGCATTTTACGACAAGCATGGGTTGCTGAAGACCTATTCTACCCCGGATCTTCACGGGTCCGATTATTGAAGAACCAACCTTTTGAATTATGTAGGTATAGAAAGGAACTACAGCAGCAAGGACCTCTAGTGTCCAGTAAACGAACAATATCCCGGACGTGTACACCCCTCTTAGGCGATCTATCTGCATGATAACGATCGTCAGCAGCTGAAAATACAACAAACGAATAATTCTGTTAACAGGGATGACTTTGGGAGTTATGAAATTGGTTTCCGCCGCTTTTAGGAATATCACAGTGAGTGAGTGAGTGAGTATGGTTTTACGCCACTTTTAGCAATATTCCAGCAATATCACGGCGGGGGACACCAGAATTGGGCTTCACACATTTTACCCATGTCGGGAATCGAACCCGGGTCTTCGGCGTGACGAGCGAACGCTTTAACCACGAGGCTACCCGACCGCCCCAGGAATATCACAGCCTTTCGCGGCGGAGGACACCAGAGTGAGTGTGTGCGTGAGTTGTGTTTAACGCCGCTTTAAAACGTATTCCAGTTATATCACGGCGTGTCAGCTTAATGCGAGAGGAAAGCCCGAAGAGATGCAGGTCTTAGACGTTTACCACTTCGGTGAAACCCCCGAGCACGGGTATGGTGCCAAGAAAACCTAGAAACATAATCGGGGCGAACCGGGATTCTAACCCACAATCATAGGTTTCTTGCGTGCCCAAGGGACGAAACTGCACAGCGGATTGCGGCGCCTTAGACGACTGCCCCCTAGGGACAGAAGAGATCGACTTCGTACGTTGAACACAGGTTGGGGGTTGAACCCGGGCCGCCGACTCTTTAACCACAAGGACAGCATGGCCTCCTCTTACATATGTGTGAATCGTTAGATACTGATACTTGAGAATATAAACAATACTGAGATGTGACCATATCTTATGTTCAAAGTAATCATCTAATTTCATATCATTATTACTTTTCAAATTTATTTGTTTGAAGTTTAACGCCCATTCAGCAATATTCCAGCGATATGACGACGGTCTGTAAATATTCGAGTCTGGATCAGACAACCCAACGATTGACATCATGAGCATCGATCCACGCAATTGGGATACGATGAGTTGCATCAACCAAGTCAGCGAGCCCGACCAACCGATCCTGTTAGTCGCCTGTTACGACAAGCATAGTCGCCTTTTACGGCAAGCATGGGTTGCTGAAGACCTATTCTACCCCGAATCTTCTCGGGTCGTGAACACACGAGTCTGGGCCATACGAACCAGTGATTGATATTGTGAGCATCTATCTACGCAGTTGGGATAAGATGGCATGAATCAACTGGTTGCTAGAAAAGTACTGCGGCACGGGGGCGATCATAAGTAGTTGAATAAGTAAAACACAATTTCATTATCTTTTTTTTTAAATCGCCAACCCGACTTACATATGTAATTAACTGCAGCGAGAAACCTAGGTATTCAGCCTGTGAAACGGTTTGCCCGTGTTTCTCGTTGACCACCAGGTGGAGTATGACGACAAGGGTCAGCAGGGACAGCATGCCGCTACTGAACTGTAACAAGAGTGAGTGAGTGAGTATGGTTTTACACTTCTTTTAGCAATAGTCCAGCAAAATCACGGCGCGGGACACCAGAAATGGGCTTCACACATTGTACCCATGTCGGGAATCGAATCCGGGTCTTCGGCGTGACGAGCGAACGCTTTAACCACTAGGCTACCCGACCGCCCCTGAACTGTAACAAGAAGCATCAGAGGTGAGGTGAAATTGGGTTTAACGTCGCGTCCAAGATCATTGCACTTATATAGCGACGTGCATGTGTGCGTGTGCGTGTGCGTGTGCGTGTGCGTGTGTGTGTGTGTGTGCGTGCGTGCGTGCGTGCGTGCGTGCGTGCGTGCGTGCGTACTAGTCCTGACTGATGCCAATTTATAGTGCCAGCTCACTCAGATACCATGCCGCAGTTTAACATGAATACCCCACTCAGAATACTGACTCCGAGCCAACCAGTCCTTGTTTAAGCCCCTTTATGCCGACTTAGGAATCACATTTTCCTAAAAAAATATCACGAGATTATGTACATTATGCGAAGTGAGTGAGTGCGTGCGTGCGTGCGTGCGTGCGTGCGTGCGTGCGTGCGTGCGTGCGTGCGTGCGTGCGTGCGTGAATTTTGTTTGTTTAGTTAACGCCGCTTTCAACAATATTCCAGCTATATGACGGAGGTCTGGAAATAATCGAGTCTGGACCAGACAGCCCAGTGATTGATATTATGACCATCGATACACACAATTGGGATACGATGACATTCATCAACCAAGTCAACGAGACTGACCACCCGATCCAATTAGTCGCCTCTTACGACAAGCATAGTCGCCTTTTACGGAATGCATGGGCTATTCTACCCCGGATCTTCATGGGGGATTACAACATTTCAAACATGGCAGTGTTCACTGAACAAATTTATTTTGTACACAAAATTACCCAGCCACAGCTTTGTATTTACAGACTGTTACAGTGAGTGAGTGAGTGAGTGAGTGAGTTGGGTTTAACGCCGCGTTTAACAGTACTTCGGTGAAACCCACGAGCACGGGTATGGTGCTGACAAACCTAGAAACATATTCGGGGCGAACAGGGATTCGAACCCACAATCATAGGCGTGCCCAAGGGACGCAACTCTGCACAGCGAATCGCGGCGCCTTAGACAACTGGGCCACCCGTGCCCCACAAACTATTGCAGGAAAAAGTGATGGTTAAATAGACATTATCAAATTTAGCAACACTTCTTTCAATTTTCAATTACATAAAAACACAGTATACTACCTTTGGTCATCAGTTTACTTTTGGGTGTTCCGTTCTCAAGAGACAAACGAAATCCACCACCAACCAATTTTGTGTCATATAACCTTAGACTGAGTGAGTTGGGTTTAACGCCGCTTTTTAACAGTATTCCAGTTATATGACGACGTGTCAGTTTAACGTGGGAGGAAAGCCCGAAATGATTCAGGTCTCAGTCGTTTACCACTTCGGTGAAACCCACGAGCACGGGTATGGTGCTGACAAACCTAGAAACATAATCGGGGCGAACAGGGATTCGAACCCACAATCATAGGTTTCTGGCGTGCCCAAGGGACGCAACTCTGCACAGCGAATCGCGGCGCCTTCGACGACTGGGCCACCTGTGCCCCCATATAACCTTAGAAACTGACTGTAGATTCACGTGGTTGGTAGCACCGCTATCGTATTGTAAACGAAATCCAAGATTATTTTCCCATTCGTTTGAAAAGTGGCATGAGGCCACGTCAGATGCATTGTTTCAAGAACATATTCTTAGCAGTCTTTTGAGCATCTTTACACTTACAGTTTTGACAATGTTGAGCGCCGAGACGGGGAGTCTGGCCTTTGCCGTGTGGGAGATGATGTAGGGCAAATAGATGGCAGCTGACACCCACAAGAACACCAGTGGTGCCCAAATAAGGACTGTAAACCGGAAGCATGGCGTCAGTTCCGGCCAAGAGTTCTTCAAGAGCTGCGTGTCGTTCTGAAACATGACGGATATTGGTTACATTCTACATTGCTTGTCTGTTTATTGTTGTTGTTTACTAGTAATTCCACACTCAGCAATATGACGGTCTGTAAACATTCGAGTATGGCCCAAACAATCCAGTGATTGGCATCCTGAGCATCGATCTACGCAATTTGGATACGATGACATGCATCAACCAAGTCAGCGAGCCTGGCCATCTGATCTCGTTAGTCGTCTCTTACGACAAGCAAAGGTTGCAAGATAATAATGTGTTGTTTGTTTGTTGTTTAACGCCGCACTCAACAATATTCCAACTATATGACGGTGGTCTGTAAAATAATCAAGTCTGGACCAGACAATGCAGTGATTGACATCATGAGCATAGATCCACGCAGTTGCGATCGACAACATGCATCAACCAAGTCAGCGAGCCTGACCACCCGATCCCGTTAGACGCCTCTTACTACAAGCATATATTTATAGTCGCCTTTAACGACAAGCATGGGTTGCTGAAGACCTATTCTACCCCGGATCTTCGTGGGTCCCTTTCGCACGTTCATGTCGTCATTGCCAAGTATGTTTAACTTTCAGTTAATGCCAGATCAAAGACAATGGTTAGAATTCGACCAAATGATAAACCGTGGTTCAATTCCGAATAACGGAAGGCAATAAGTAAAAGAAACAGGTTACTTAAGCTTTCAAGGAAAACAAATAAAGACAAGGACAGAACATTGTGCAGTAAACAAAGAAATAAAGTAAATAATATGAAATATTATGCAACGGAAATGTCCTACTCCAATTTAGACAATTTCGTTTTAGAATTATACTTAGAAAACAAATCTTCTTATTGGAAATTGTTACGATATATAGTGAAAATTACAGGTAAGACTTCACCTCTAGACCAATATCGTTGATAAGCTGTATCGGGAAAGTATTCGAACGAGTTGTGTTCAAGCACTTGCACAATTATTTTCATGAGAATTCGTTGCTAGACAAATTCCAAGCGAACTGGTGGAATTCTATAAGTAAGTGTATAAAGCAGTCGATAACAAAGAGTTCTATTGTATGGTGTTCTGGCATATTTCCAAAGCGTTTGACAGAGTAAGGCATAGTTGGCTTGTATATAAATTGTCATGTTATGGTTTAAAAGATGTATTACTAGAGTGGCTGGTTGATAACGTAACAAACTCGGAAACAATCTGTTTTTCAAATGGACTATTGTCTGACACTGAAGAGTAAGATGCTGGTGTGCCACAGGGATCGGTACTAGGCCCTTTCTTGTTCCTCGTGTACATCAATGACATTACTGATAAACTGAACTGTGCAACAAGATTATTGCCGATGACACATCCCTAGGCATATCATCTAATAACATTAAAAATATAGAAACTACTATGAATAGCAATTTAAATAAAATTAATGAATGGGCTCAAGTCTGGCTAATTCTTTATAATCCGAGCAAAACAAAATCAGTTCTTGTTTACACAAAAGAGCCGCAGAGAACTGTGAAATTATTTTTGGATTATCAAAAAATGAAAATGTTAAAACACACAAACACCTATGTGTTATATTGTCGTCATCGGGGAAGTGGTCATGTCATAAAGATTCAATTATTAAAACAGCATCAAAGATGATTCATTCAATGAGGAAGCTTAAGTATATGCTCTGTCGTAGTGTGTTGAATTAGATTTATGTAATGTTTATTAGACCACATTTTGAGTGAGTGAGTGAGTTTGGTTTAACGCCGCTTTTAACAGTATTCCAGTTATATCGCGGCGTGTCAGCTTAATGTGGGAGGAAAGCCCGAAGTGATGCAGGTTTCAGACGAGACCACATTTTGAATACGCATGTGAAGTTTGGGACGGTTGTACCAAGGAGCAGAGTGACAGATTAGAAAAACTCCAACTGGAAGCAGCAAGAATTAATTTTACTGGTTTACAAACCTATACTTCAGTCAAAAATATATATTTCGAAACTTCCTGGGAGCCCTTATCAGAGCGCAAGAGAAACGTAAATTGTGTTTATTTTATAAAATATATAACAATATGACACCTTCAGACCTTAAAGATCTAGCACCTCACTCTGTCGGGACAAGCGTAACATAAAACCTTAGAACTGCTCACAATATAACTATGCCTCTATTACGTACTAAGTTATCTGAATCCCGAGTGTTTAACGCCGCAATCAACAATATTCCAGCTATATGATGGCGGTCTGTAAATAATCACATGCATCTACCAAGTCATCGAGCCTGCCAGCCTGATCCCATAAACCGCCTCTTACGACAAGCACAGTCGCCTTTTACGACAACCATGGGTTGCTGAAGACCTAGGTTTCTTTGACGGTGGCCATTGTTAAAGTAGGTTATATCACCCTGAATGCCGGGTCTATGACCTGGTCATATAACCAGTCTATACGTAAACAAAGGTCAGTCCACTCGAACCCTGGTGTCTTATCGTGGGTATGAATACTTAGATGACCATAGCCAGCTGCCATTTATATGTATGTAAATCCGTTGATGTGGCTACCTTTCATTCCTGTAATATATACGTGTGTGTAAAATAAAACACTGTGTCCAAATTTAAACAGAGGTTGTTTGCATAAACCGTTGTGTAATCACGATATATTTGATAGGATTTTATACGTCCCGGTTTTTCCTCACACCTGATATGACGGCTTTTTCACAGCTTTGTACTAAGCACAGTATTGCTATGACACACAGCTGGAATATACAAACGAACAAACAATGGCCGTGCAGGGGTTAACCTTAGTGCTGTCGGACTTCAAACTACATACCTTATATAATCCCCTAATTATACTACTGATGGTCAACAAAGTAGAATGAATACTTTCAGTAAAATCGATATCGGTTCGATAGAGTGAGTGAGTGAGTGAGTGAGTGAGTGAGTGAGTATGGTGTTACGCCGCTTTTTAACAGTATTCCAGTTATATCACGGCGTGTCAGCTAAATGTGGGAGGAAAGCCCGAAGTGATGCAGGTCTCAGACGTTTACCACTTCGGTGAAACCCATCTATCTCTATCTATCTCTATCTCTATCTATCTATCTATCTATCTATCTATCCAATTCAGCGAGTCGGCTCACCCGATCCTGCTAGTCGTCTCTTACGACAAGCATGTGTTACTGAAGACCTTTTCTAACCCGGATCTTCACGGGTCGGTGAGCGTGAATAGCACAAGCCAGGGTCAAGGAGACATTTTGTTATTTTTTTGTCCCGCTCAGCGTTTATAAAGAAAGCTTTAAGCTGTCTTAGTTTGTTTCCGCCTTCGGAATGTATAGGTTCAGCGGACACATAAATCAAGTAATACTTTCCTTTTACGCCGAAGGAAGAAACAGTATTTATCCCTACTCAAGTTACCTCTGACAGCAAAAAAACACATGTGACAGTCGTCTAAGGCGCCGCAATTCATTAGGGACGCCAGAAACCTGTGATTGTGGGTTCGAATCCCGGTTCGCCCTGATTATGTTTCTAGGTTTGTCAGCACCATACCCGTGCTCGTGGGTTTCACAGAAGTGGTAAACGTCTGAGACCTGCATCACTTCGGGCTTTACCCCCACATTAAGCTGACACGCCGTGATATAACTGGAATACTGTTACAAGCGGCGTTAAACCCAACTCACTCACTCACTCACTCACTTCAACTGGAATTCTAAGATGCTTCGCTAAAAGATCAAATACAATCCTGCGATGCAGTACACTTTCTGAGTTACGTCATAAGTGGCTGACGTCATGGCGCTGTTCAATTTACCTCCCCCGTGATCTAATGTATCCTTGGTAACATTGTTCTTTCATTACTGTCAATCTAGATGCCGCATCCACGTCAGTTATCGACGAAATAGTTTCTTTGTACTTGCCGAATATGAATATTATTACCCGGAAAGAAATAGGGCAATATGATGCCAACCATCTCTCATGCCGCGGAGTTTTAGCATTCATGTTCGACCCGTGAAGATCGGGGTTAGAATAGGTCTTCAGCAACCCATTCTTGCCGTAAAAGGGGACTATGCTTGTCGTAATAGGCGACTAACGGGATCGGGTGGTCAGGCTCGCTGACTTGGTTGATGCATGTCATCGATCGCAACTGCGTGGATCGATGCTCATGATGTCAATCACTGGATTGTCTGGTCCAGTCCTGATTATTTTACAGACCGCCGTCATATAGCGGGAATATTGCCGAGTGCAGCGTTAAACAACAAACAAACAATTATCTTGAAACCTTTGCTTGTCGTAAGAGCATGGGTTGTTGAAGACCTATTCTACCCCGGATCTTCGCAGGTCAGGTCATTACAGATTACATTTTAAATCCAGCTCTTACACAACATAAGTTTAGTCTTAAATTCGGCATCTTAGAAAAGTCATAAACGTTATTTCAAAACCATATTTCTGACTCAACCGAGCAGAAATCCGATAGTGTTTTATGCACCACAAATGTCATACGTAGTATTTCATCAAGATCACGTGGACCAATCAGATCTCATCATTCTGACGTGTAGGCTTGATAAAGTACATGTGTTATGTCAAAATGAATAATTAGAATCTACCAGCTTGCGATTCTGAGATACCTGTGCACGTCCAAGGTCAAATTGTAGGATGCGTACATTAATATTCACCAGTCACATCTTTTAACACTGTGTTTGTCCTGTGATAATTCACGTTGTCAAACGTTTCGTGCGTGTCTAATTTGGCGTGTAGCGGACTGTCATTGATAAAATGACGACTAGGTGTATCTTCAACGTAATTGACCAATATTCCGTGAATACTCAGTAGAATAACCCATAATACATCAGTGTTTGTTTGTGGTTGTTTGTTGCTTAACGCCGCACTCAGAAGTATTACAGCTATATTTATGACGGTGGTTTGTACCTCATCGAATATGGTTGGTTGGTTGGTTTGTTGTTTAACGCCGCACTCAGCAATATTCAAGCTATATAACGGCGGTCTGTAGTGAGTGAGTGAGTATGGTTTTACGCCGCTTTTAGCAATATTCCAGCAATA